ATAAGGTGAAAGTAAAAAATAAGTAAAATTTGTGCTATTAAAAGAAAAATTGTTTATCTCATAAACTAACCACTTTAACCTACAAGTATTATACATTTTTGAAATCAGCTCAAAGAGGAGTATCCAAATTTTACATAAAAAATATGAGAAGTAATTTAAAAAAAAGGGATGATGCTAGGGGTGAGGGGGTGGCTTTTCCAGTAAGTTTAAATAAGCCATAATGCTTGCCCCTTGCAACATAAATTGACGTGTTTTTGGATTTTTCCTAAATACCAGTATTACAAAAGTTGTTAAAGGTGGATACTTTTATCTGAAAAGCACTGTATAAGTACTGGCAATTGTAAGAATTTTTAGCTGTTTAAAAGCATATCTACATCAATCTCGGTGCCCTAGCTTAGCTATTATTCTAATAGCATATTTATGGATGAGAAATATCCTGTTGACAGAAGCATTCATACCCCAATTGAGAATACCATATCGAAGGTGTGAATGGAAATTAGCATGGTAAAATGTCAAGAGTATAGTAGAGCTGCAGCGATCTGACATGAATCTAATAAAATAGCAGATTTTCTACAGTTTATTACATAGTGTATCAATATGTTGATTCCACATTGATTTTTCATCTAGAACAATTCCTAGCATATTTACAGTTTCTACAAGACTAATTGTTTTTTAACTATTTTCATATAGTACCATGATTGTCCTTTGTCCACGTCTGCTGAACAATATGGTGTTAGTTTTAGATTTGTTGAGTTTTAAATTGTTCTTTTCAGCCCACAATATGATTTCGTCATATATATCCTTGGCAGTTTTTTGGAGTGCATCCATATTGTCTTCAACAATAAAAAAATTTGTATTGTCAGCATAACTTGTAACGAATGCCGTGTTTGTTTTACTCGTGAACAAAATTAGATCATTAGCAAATGACAAGAAAAAAGGGCCTTAATTCGAACCTGGAGAACTCCCTGCATAATATCACAATTATCGCCCATGCACTGACCAATTCTCACTTTTTGCCTCCTGCCTATAAGGTCTTACCAAATCATGTGGGACCCCTCTTAAGTTCAACCCGAATGGCTTGGAGAGACTTAACAATAGGTTTATTGCTCTACAATTGTCTTTTTTAAATAATGGGCATACTGTTGCGAGCTTCAAAATAAAAATTCCATTTACAGAAGGCAGATTTATCAAATATGTCAAGGGATGACAAATTAAATGTGATGATATCTCAGTTATGAAAGCATGTGCAAGAGTGTGAAAAGCTATTGTTACATTTTCCCCGTGAGTTTGGCAATAAATGACTAGACTGTACAATTAAACTCAACTTCATTTCACTGCTACACTGACAATACAATACAAATAGTTCAACTGAAACTTCGGACAAATACTCAAATGTCTATTGTCTTATCAGAACACTTTCAACTAGACTTTTCGATCTGCGTGTTGGTAGTGTATATATATGGTAAGTAATGGCAGGTGACAGGGAAGTCCGTGCAAGTAGCTTGAGTTTGGAGGCAAATTAAATGTGATGATATCTCAGTTATGAAAGCATGTGCAATTTTATTTCCTAGAGATGAAAATAACGGAGTTATGAGAGTTATCAATCAAAAAAATATGTTCACGATGAAATATATGAGATTGATGACTTGTTTATTTTGTGGTAATTCATGATCACTTCAGTTACCACTAGTTAACTAGTAGTAATTAGACAAAAGTGTGTATTCATTTCATTAAAGTGTTCATGATGAAACACTAATCAATTTGTATAATAATAACAACTTACTGCACATATTACATAAAATAATGTAACAGCCCGTCAAAAGGAAATACATTTTCATTATTACTGTCAACAGAATCTGAATAATTTCCGTAATGTGAGTTATCTTCAATGGTTTGTTTTAATCTAGTGATAAGATTGATATTTCAAAAAATGAGTTATTGAGAATATTCTTAAACGTAGTTTCAAAAAATAATTTAGTTTTTTTGTATTTCCCAAGGACAAAGTGAATCTTTCAGTAATAATGATCCAACTTTGTCGTGATAGTATTGAGGGGAAATTTAATTGACCACAAAATCTTAACAAGAGTGTGAAAAGCTATTGTTACATTTTCCCCGTGAGTTTGGCAATAAATGACTAGACTCTACAATTAAACTCAACTTCATTTCACTGCTACACTCACAATACAATTCAAAGTTCAACTGAAACTTCGGACAAATACTCAAATGTCTATTGCCTTATCAGAACACTTTCAACTAGACTTTTCGATCTGCGTGTTGGTAGTGTATATATATGGTAAGTAATGGCAGGTGACAGGGAAGTCCGTGCAAGTTTCTCGAAGCGACGCGACATCTAAAACAATCACGAAGCACATCGCGCGATCTTGGCCAAGTCACAATCGATTTACAACGACCAGCGGCGGCTGGCGTTATTTTTTTCAGGGGATGATTTACAGCACTATTGGCATTTATACATTGGTAGATTGATATTCATTATATTTTTAGTAAGAGTAAAAATCTAAAGATTCTTCAAAAAGTTTTTGTCAACCAAATTGTCACCATCAAGAAAAGCATAGTCATTTATCTATCGACTTGGATGGCGAAACTTGCGTCGAAGGCAAGTGTTTGTTTCAATTGAAAGGGGTATATTTTCAGGAGTGATTAAGTTTTTGCAGGCATGTTATGGATATGAAATTTCGAATCTGGGTAAGGATTTAGGAATAAAATGATATCGGTTACGGATATGTAATTATTTCGGATTATCCGTTAGTATCGGATAGTATATAGAAACTTTCTTATTTTATCAAAGTAGTCTTTTCCTATACCACAAATAAAACAGTTGGACTCCATATCTTCTTTTACGCTCTCCAGCTGGTCACGAAGCTCACCAAAAGCGTCAATGATCAAACCTAAAACCGAAAATTATTCATAAAATCATTGAAAGGGAATTCAATTTGTATACTTGCCTTGGATTATAGCCAGTAATATAACAATTACAAAGAAGAAGAATGTTATGTCAAACATAATTCGATACACTTCATAATCATCGCCATCTGGCGGTTCAATTTCATCACCTATACCACCGCCAGCCCTGACACCTTTATAGAGATGGAACACGAAGCACTGAAACCAAAATAAGTAATCAGCAGTTCAAACACTTTCAAAACAAATCGATGCCACTCACCGTTAACATATCATGACACTTTCGGTCAACAGCTTCGTCCTCTTCTTGTACATAAAATTTCCTGAAGAAGTTAAAAGCGATTACTGTGTAGATATACACAATGATCGTTAAGAGCATCACAGTGAGAACCAGCTGTTTTCCATTGTGGGTTACGGATTGTAAGATGGTACGCAGAGTTTTAAAACCAACAGCAACGTCAAGGAGATGAGCAGCAAAAAAGAAATTGTTGAAGTTGCCTAGAATTGAGAAAGTGAAGTACCACAGAGAGTACAGAAAAGAGTTATCTGTTATCGTTACTCCAGATTTCCAGATTTGGTAACGCCAGTCGATATTGATGATCCTAAAAATACATAAAATAACCGGCCTTACAACAAATTCATATTAATTCAAACTAAGATTCATGACTTTCAATATTTTGTCTAAAAATTGTTATCCAATGATTGAACCTCATTGAAAATTCCATAACTTATTTATATTAGGTAAATAAAAAACTTCAGGAATGAGAATAATGTATCTACTCACAATGAAATTATACTCTTTTTTTCTTCAGAATCTTGCTGTTGGAAAGATGTCTTTTCCATTCCCAGAAGATTACTAATTGATTCAAAATCATATGTTTCACTATACTTCTGCCTGACTTTTTTCTTAACGAACTTGTCCCAGTAATTGACCGGGAAGGACCTAAAGTAAAGAGTGGTAATGAATCGAGCATCATTACCATAAGATATACCTTACTTTGCCGAAATAACTAATTTATCCCAGTGCGATTTCAAATCATCATCCTCAGGCTGTTCAGCAATATATAAGCCTTCAAACTCCAACCTTCTAGCAATTTCTTTCTCTCTCTTGAATATAGCTAAAGGCACCTTCAAGTGATAATAGGCTATGAGCATTGCCAATGACACTATAGAATGCAACATCGCAGCTAATCTCATAACGTGTGCCATATAATAGAAATCTTCATCAACATGTACAAGTTCCGGTGAATCGTCTTCTTCGCCAGAATCTCCTGAACCCGACCCACTTCCATCATCAGCCCCTGAACCTTCGAGTATATCTGGGATTCCTTTACTGCCGCTCCCACCTATATCTTCATTTAAACTAGAAACCTGACAAAAATATTTCAAAAAGTAGAACTGGAACCTGTGGCAAATACTTATCCCAGACACTACAACTAAAACATTCTTCATAACACGTATTTCACCAATCAAGTTAATATCATCAGAATCCAAACTATACTGAACTATATAATAAAGCTCTTGATGACGCCAACTTTGTTATTGAAATGTGTTTCGAAAAGAGTGTTACAGTTCTGGTGTGTTGGAGAAGTATTTGTGTGTCTCATTTAAGAACTCTCTTAAGTGTTAGTTCTCACCTTGTAGAAGAGCAACATGAAGTTTATACAGAATGCCAACACCAATGCTACATATTTTAGATTGTAAAAGTTTCTTGCAAGGAATGAAACAGCTCTGTGACCATATGCAGCAAAATTGATTTGAGAAACAGCAGACGGCTCTGTAGTGTGAACCTGTTTGCTTTCAGATTCAATGGCCTGCATCGCGGCTTGCTGAGCTGCTTGAGCTTCCACTTTCTCTTGCTGAGCTCTCTTGGCTTGTTCTCCCCTGAAAATATCATCATGTTACATCTTTAGTTACTAATGGTGAATGGGACTAGATCAGGGAACATTTTTTTATTAACAAAAGACCTATATTGGCAGTGTCGGCCACATAGCCCCCGGCCCCGATATCGGGGAGTTCTTACTGATTGGGAATCCCTGTCTCTGCTGGCCAACAAGTTATCTAACTCAGATGGTTTTTTTCATCAACTTATTACTTTCTCACTGCCCCTCTGGACTTTCCTTAGAACATCTTTCTGATAGCTGAGTTGAGATTAACTAATTTTATTCATAAGTAGGTATACCTTTGTTATGTTGTTGTTAAGAAGTACAAAGCTGGACTGCGAAAGAAAGTCTCACTGTCAATCTCAGTAAAACAGTACTAGTTACATTCAGAAAGGGTACATATACACGTAGAGCCCCAACTTTGAGTGGAAACCTGTTAACTACTACGGAATATATCAAAAACTTATGAAAACTATGGTTACTTATGCCTCTCGTGTAAAAAACTGGAACAAACATCAAGAGTTGAATTTTTAATTACAGGGGCAATTTTTACTATCCCACAGATGCTTTAGAGGTGATCCAACACCTCACACCATTACATTTTTGTGCAATGAAGGAAACAACAATAAATGCTTTCAGGTTTCATCAACCATTAAACATTAATTTTTGTTCTGGTGTTGGCAAAGTGTTTTCAATAGATTCATTTTACGCCACAGGTTCCAATGCGATCTATCAAGAAGAAATGTCAGTTAGGCAAGATTTCAAAGTGAACTTTGAAATGGTTTCAAATGACCATCAAACACATAGGTAGGAAAGCATTGGTATGGTATTCTCAAGTCCAAAATGAATGAAACAATTGATGTTGAGTTGAAGAACCAAATTTAAAGCCCTTCGAACACCTTGCAAGTACTCTCAACATCTTCCAAGTATATCTGATTGGATAGAGCCCATAGCTTCCTCGGTAGGAAGGTTCACAGCTAATTTCGTTGTTAACTTTTATGTACTTACCCAAGCAAATCAGACAAAGATAATGGTTGTTCAGGGGTTTCAGCATCAGCATGCTCCCCAGTTTCTTCAGGAGTGGTTTCACCATCACCAGATGATGGTTGACTTCCTTGTGGTGACTCATGTGCTGCCATTTTGTACTGCCCATTATCCTCTTTAGTAATATCAAGACCAAATGCTTGCATCTGAGTATTCTGTTCCTCTGTCGATGGTAATGAAGGCAGTACCCTCATGGGACCCACTTTCTCTTCTTGAACGACTTGTATGACTGGTTCCTCAATTACTGGACCTCTCATCAATGACATAAGAATACCCAAAATATACCTTACCACAATAACCATGCCGAAGCCTGAATAGTAGAATGCAAAGAAAATCAGTTTGAAGAAGCCAACAAACAACTCCGTAAAAGTCATCTGCTGCATCTCTGATATCTTGTGTTTGATATTAGAAGGGCTCAAACAAGATAACCCATAATATATTCCACCTTTTATCGATTTGTATATTCTCTGGAATTGGTTTTTGGAAGCTCGATCTTCTTCTTCATCAGTCATGTAACTGTAACTAGTTGCTCTTGTTGGTCCACCACCACCAGACTCTTCAACAGCCATCAATCCACTTGCATGCTGCATTTCAAAGATGGCATCTTCACAGAAATTGATGAAAGCCTCCAATTTCTCCTTGTCACCTCCTTCAGTCACAATAGAGTAGAAGAATGCTCGTTTTGATTCCTAAAAAATATATTTTCATTTTTCTTCAATTCATTAAATTGGGAGACAGTAAGAGAATGGAATTAATGTATGAGGAACTGCCAAGGGACGTATGCGACTGTATTTCAAGTGAAAAATTTATGTTATTGAATTGTGTGCGGGAGATTGGTAGAATCCAACCTCATACACAAGTCAATGAAAATATTCTCGGACAGTGAAGCGGCATTGGAAGCTTTTGGCTCTTATCGAGCAACGTCTAAATTAGTAGCAAATTGCCAAAAACGACTCCCCTCAATAGAAAGACTTAACAAATTGTCTCTGGTCTGGATTCCTGGCCATACTGGCCTGTAAGGCAATGATATTGCTGTCTCCCTTGCAAAGGAGGGTGCTGCAAGCAACTTCATCGAACCACAACCTGTCTTTGGCATTGCATTCGGGTTTGCCAAACAAAGATTGAACACCTGGATGACAAGAGCAGTGCCTGCCCCGCTGCGGAATGAATCAGGTTTTCAGAGTTTGGCAGAGCCATGCTCTTACCATTTGACCTGAAAGATCAAGCAACATATAAACTAATCGGCTTCGTTAAGAAGCTGGGTTTATTCGGTCGTGAATAGGTATGAGTCACAATAAACTCTCTCGGGTTGCGGTGTGGGGTCGAATAGTCCCACTCACTTTTAACCTAACCTAACCTAACGAGGAACTTAGCAAAAAATCAACAGTTAAAAGTTTCAAACTGGACATGCTACCTGAAAAAATATCTGTACGAATGACATTAAGGTAATCCTACACTGAAGATTACTAAAAAAACTGACTGTTTTATATTGGCAAATATATATTAATTAGGGAATATTTATTTGGAAAGTAAAACCTCACAAAATTAGTGATTTATATATAGATATGTACCTAATAATAAATAACACCTCCTGAGTCACAAAGTTGGCAAATAAGCAAGAAGGTCTTACCTTAATTTGTGGTTTTTCCCATTGTTCAATGTTGGATTCTTTTATTTCAAAGTAAACTCTTTCAATCCGTTTGCTACCACCCAAAATTTCTATACGCCCCAAAAATGGTTCAAAATAGTTGAGAACAGAACCAGCAGTTTCCAAAAACCTAGCAAGTCTTGGTTCATTTGGCATATGCTCTGACAAATTTGTAAGGAGTACCGCCAAGTTGAAACCAATTTCTTTAGCTGGCTCATGGAATCTATCAATGAAGCCAATGTAATCCAATTTACCATCATGGTTAGTTTCACAACAGGCCAACAAAAATTCTATTTCTTCTCTGAAAAATAAGGAAATAAATCAAGATTATGGACTATTGGATTCAACTTACGGAGTGTAACTCTTTTGCTGTTCCATTTTGTCCTTAAAATCTTTTGGATACACCCATCCATCACTATTTAAATCAATTTCTTGGAAAGATGCCGAAGAAGTAAGATCTTTCAATTTCAAAAACATGTCAAAGTACTTCAAGATTAGTTCAACATTGCTAGCACTCTCAACCAAAGTGTCAACCATTTGTTTACCAATAGTACCATTGACTACATTACCCTCCAGCATTGAGAGCATCATAGTAATCATGTCTTTTTGCAAATTCAGCAATTCTTTGAGCAAATCCACTTGGCTAGAATGTTTGGAAAGTTTTTCTTGCATGTGAGAGAACAAAAAAAGGAAACCTCCTACCGCATCCCACAATCTAGAAAAAGAATATATATGTAGGTATTCAGAAATCGAAGTTTTTATTTTTCATTACCTGGAATGGGCTAATGCTTGCTGGTTGAGAGTACACGGTCCCTGAATAACTTCTGTGAGTGTATTGAATACCTGACTGGCGACCTCTATTGCTTTGAAAAAATTGGCTTTACCAGCTGGATCTATCAGTTCTTTGCTGGAGTAATGCCAGTAAAAGTCCATGATGGACTCTTGAAGTCTCAACAGGTAATCTACAGTGCATATTACCACATTTACTGTAGTCGTGTTTCCGGCTTGAGTTCTCAAATAATTTTGCCATTCTAAAAAGTTGAAGCACAACTTGTAAACTAACTGTTTTTATCATAGTTTCCTTTTTATAGAATAATTTTTCAATTAAATATTACCTAAGTTGTGGCCTTCACAGGTCAATTGAATGAACCTAAACAAAGCACAAGTAAATTCTGCGTCATGCATATTCTTCTCACCAGCAGCTCCTAAAAATATCCCTTCATCATTCTGACAGATTTAACGAAACAAATCAGTACCTTCAGAACCAACACCAAGGCCTTCAGCTTTTGTGTTCCTCTCAAATGCATCCAAATCTAAAACTCCACAGCTATTCATGAGACCTGCAATACTGGTGAAAAATCCTACATCTTTCTTTTCCTTCAGATGGTTTAACATTCCCATCTGTATCTCAAAATTACCGCCTCGCAGAACAGAAATACCCAACTGTAATGTTTTCATTACCATCTCTGAAGGAACGCCTTTGCATGCAGATATGTGAAGAAGAACCATCTCTGCCACTCCTCTGTTAGCAAGTCGGGCTTGGTTGAAAAGAAGCTTCTGTTTTTCCATTTCTTGTTCCTAGTGAAATAAAATGGGGTGGCGAAATTTGTTTCTCCAGTATTTTATGTTATGGATTACATAGTTTCTCAAAGCAAGCTATGATTTTCAAATCAATCAATATAAGGTATTCTAATGATATGAATGTTGAATTGAATAAACTGATCTATTAATTTAATTGATAAGATCAATTTAGAAACTGTATATAGGGTCAAATCTTGACCCTATATACACTAATGATAGACCTACTTATCTGAAACAATTATCTACTTTATTTTTCCTAACTCATCAAGAATATCAGGTATGTATTGTTATTACAGGAAATGCATCTCACCATCATTTTTCTCATCGTCCTCTGTGTTAGCATTCAATAAAAATATTAATCGGGAAATTCAAAGTTAACTTCAAATACTTACATGAATAGAAGAAGCGCCTTCTTCGCCCTCTCCGCCACCCTCTTCTTCTTCACCATCTTCTTCTTCTTCTCCACATGATTTTGCAATGATTTCAGCATAGCTCATATAAAGTGGATCCTCCTGTAAAGCTCCTGACCTCTCGGTCATAGCTCCTCGGCAGAAAGTTGTAACTAATTGTGTTAAAGGATCAGGCTTCCCTTCCTCCTCCTCTGCATCTTTTTTTGTCAGTTCAGAATCTTCAAAACTTTGCGTGAGGTCTTCTATCATTACTTCTTGTCCTACGTTCTCATCTTGAAGCCAAAAATCACGGTATGTGCGAATGAAGATATTAATTGCACGATGTCTACAAAAAAAGAGTTATAAAACAATTGAATATATGTGAAATGGCATTAGTTGGAAAACCAAGACACACCTGCTCAACTTGTATAAAGGAGTCATTCTGAGGCAAGCTAGTGCAGCCCTTTTTCTAGCAGCTCCTAAAACTCTTTTCCACCCATCGCGGTTATTCTTTGGTTTGGAAGCCTGTTAGTACATGATAAGCAAAATTGTTAAATAGTTAGAATCACACAGTAATTTCAAGCAAGTATTAAAAATGAACGAGAAACCAAGCCACTTAACGAACCTTGGCAAACTGTGCAAAGAAGCTTGTCGGAAGCAAGAAAGTACCGCACGCTTCCTTTGAGTTGAAACAACACTTCTGTAAACACCTTTCTGCTGCTGTTGTGGATGATCGATCTAGTATGCAATGCAAAACAAATGAAATTGAATAAAATGCTAACCTAAAGTAACGAACTAAATTGCGAGATGAAATAATATTCAAATAAAGCACCTCTCCATCTTATAAAACATTCAGTGAAAGTTTTCTTGCCAAAATGAAGAATATGCCAATATCGACAATATTATGGTTCCAAACTTGGTTGAAAGGTAATTCAATTAAAATAAAATGTTCAAATTCAAGTAAAAAGGCAAATAGTAAAAGAGTTCATCGAAAAAATTTAAAAAACTGTGCATTTATGAAAAAAATTATAAAATATTTTCAACTCACCATATGAAGCCCGTACAATACTTTACTCATAGCAACAATCCTATCTACAGTTTCTTCCAGTTGGTTCTTGCCGTTGTTATCTGTTGCAGTAACTGAAACACTTTTCTTACTACCCAACTGACTATAAAGATAGTGCTGCCAGGACATTTCATCAGCGGGGTCAATTTTATCTGGCAAGGTGAGTTGGGTTTTCGCAAAAACAATAATATCTTGTTCGTTCATTTTCTAGAATTGAATATTTTTTACTGTATAAATCTGTGAATGATATACTTATCATCAACTGACCTTAAGAAATCGATCTTTGCAATGTTGGACCAGTTCTTGCTCTCGTCCTGCAAAAAGATTTAGACCAACAGGAAGCAAGCGTTTCAAACAGGCTACCATCAGTGAAGCTTGAATTTCTTTATCTTTATTCCTTTTTTTGTCACGATGCTTCTTTTTTTTCTGTAGCAAACATGAAAGAAAGCATAAAAATTTTGTGAAAAGTGAAATTCAAACATACTTCTTTAAAATAATGTTATTACCTTTCCAACTGTTGGTTGACTGCCATCAGGAACCACTGACCTGCGTGTTGCTGTTGGCATTATTAAAATCATATTATCTATTTCATTTGCGGCAATGAAATTCTGCTCTTCCCTGAGGAAGTATTGGGATTTCGACCAAATGTTGAAAATTTCGGCCACATGATTGTACAAATCTTCAGCTTCTGCAACATTGTGCCTCATCCAATGGTTTCTTTGTAAGTCAACATATTTAATAAGAAGAGGATAGAATGAATATATATCTCTCACTAAGAGATGCCAATCCTCTTGAATTTGAGTTTCGATCTAACAAAAATAGAAATTTGAAAAACAGATACACTTATTTTAAATATTAATTATTTCACTCACTTGTGATGTGTCATCGGAAGAACTTTTTATGAACCCTCTCAAACTTTCTTCTTTGTGAAACATAATTTCAGTTCTTTTTTTCACTCTCTCTGCTAATGGAAGGAAGGGATCTTTTAGTAATTCTTCGCTACTGTTTATAATTATTTGCTGAGTATAGGCTGCTATTCTTGTCATCCATGGAGAACTATCATTGCCAATGTTCTTTTTGATGAGTTTGAGAACATTCTTAAGCAACTGATTCATATGTTCAGCTGTCACCATTGAAACATGAGTTCTGTGAATAAACATTTTCGGTGTAATGAGTTAAAAATCTATGATAGTAATATTTATTAGTTTCTCTTACCCTCCAGTAGGACTGACATTGTCGGGACCTTGTGACCACCAAAATGGAAGATATGAACATAACATAGGCATGATAACATCGATAATTTGGGGAGCATCCGCATACGTTTTCTCACTTTCTACAAACTGATCTACTTCAGAAAGTATTGCTTCAAGAGTTGGCATAGAATTTTCCATCCTTGCCATTATGTCTGAAAATTGAAAACAACAGTTTCAACTAGTTTTTAAACTAGAATTAGTTTAAGGACCTTGAGCTTCTAATGAGTGATCAGCAATTCTGTTCAGCAGGGAGAACTGATTATGCTTATTTAAATGTGGTTCCAAGAAGGCAACTGGAAAAGTGGAACTAAAAGCTCCCATACAAGACCCCAGAGCTGGTTTATACTTCTCCATTTCAGTTTTCAAATATTTTCTATCGTGTGATAACGTAGGATCAGTTCCCAGAGTGTACAAAGACTGTAAGATTTTGTATGATGCCACCTGAATTTCGTCCACTGAAAAATATATAATACTTCATTGTACTATTCATGACAGATGATACTATATTATAAGTTGTAAAAGTAGTCATATACTTACATAAAAGATCACTCCCATATTCACAATTTGCTAAGTGATCAAAAAGGGAAGTCAAAACTGGTAAAATAACTGCATTTACGTAGAATAACGATGTTGAAGTTTTTAGATGAGTGCCTCTCAGATGACTGTATTTTCCCTGTTGAAAATCAAAAAAATATTTCAATCTTTATTATTTAAAGCATATAATCTGAACAAATTTTCATTACAGGTCACTCATGTCATAGTTTTAATATCCATAGTTATAATTACAAAAATTAAAAACAAAATACACGAAATAACTAAAAAATATAAATCAGAAAGTTGTAACTAATTGTTACATACCTCCTGTAAATTGATAATTGTATGACCTAAATCATCGGCGGTATTATTGAAAAATGTCAACATTGAAGTTCTGATGAACTCTGGGCAATTTTTCACTAAAGACTTGGCATCAATTCCTTTTACTAAAACCTGCAAACATCTGACTGTAATCCTGACGTCAGCTCCAAAGGCAGCTAATCGAGATCTTAAGAGGTTTGCTAGTTTGCAGAATAAGGCAGCCACCATTTCTTTTTCTTTCAAGCTCGCGGCTCCAACATTGTTTGTAGCTGTGGCTATGGCTATAAAATAGTTCCTGTGAGTGGAGAAATACTTTTCCATCAGAGGAAGAACGACCTTTGAGAAAAATTTTATGTCACGTGATGATGTTTTATAAGAACTCCTTCTGCTAAATGTTTGAGAGGGTTTCAAGAGTTTCATATTAATTGTTGCTCTATCCAAATACTGAATAAGTTTTTCCAGTAAGCTGTATGCGAAACGAAGTTCCACTGATGGACCAGCAGTTGACTGCTCTGTCTCTAATTGACCACCACGGTTAGGCCTGTGCAACTTGTAACCTTGATACTGAAGATACTTTAAGAATTCTTGTGATCTTTCTCTATCTTTTTTCTTCTCTTTATCGGTCAATAAGTCATAAGGAACCAGCTGAGGATGTATTCCGCCTCCACAAGTATTCAATTCTTCCTTTTTCTTTCTTGCCCAAATATCATGAGCATTCTCTGCCAATCTTTCAGCCATGTTCTGCATTTCTCTTGATAATGTGAGGTTCGTCATGTCCACAGGATGGGGGTTGTAATTAAAAGCTGAGCTATGTTCCCCAGATTGCCTCATACCTGAATTTCTACTGTTTGATGGTAAATCTACCTCAGTATGCTCAACAGACCAGCCTATGGCTAAAAGAGCTTTCAGGGATTCTCTCACCGGTTCTTTATATCTTTCTTTTTCCTGGAAATAAATATGATACAATTAATATCAATGTATCCTAAACCAAATCTTTACTCACATAATCATTCAACATTGCATAGGGTTTCAATCTAGGGTGGGTCTTGTTTCCATCCCAACCCGAATATGTCTCTCCATACTGCCAACCATTCTCCAATTTCCTAGAACCCCAAGCATCGTGATAGTGTTCAGAAAACTGCTGAACTATATTATTCAAATCATTGTTCAGAACAACTGATGACGTATTGATCGGTTGAGGGTTGTAAGGACCATCAGGACCAGTCTTTGCAGATTTACTGGTGTACCATTCATCATCATAATTCTTTGAAAGAGAGTAGTCTGGTGGTAAAGCACATCCAATTGCTGTCAAACAAGGCAGAGCTTTTCCAAAAAGTTCTGGTTCGTAATCCATTTTGCTTAAGGAATCGAAGATATTCGAAAACAACATCATAGTTAACCTTTTTTCTTCATCGCTAGATGATCCATATATTCCCTGCCCACTAGTGGTACCGTAATATTTAGCACATCTGTCATAATGCAAAGTTAATAATCGAAGAGCAACTGTTGTATATTCAGATAAATTGGAAACATCAACGGTTAGCTTTCTGAGAAGTTTTAGAAGCATAGATGGTTGTATGGCACTAGTTAAAGCTACCAAAAAATCTGATACCGCTTCTCTTTGTCCTTTAGTGAGCATACGATTCTTTGATAGTCGGTAAACTGTGTGCAATGTTGCATCCAATAGTGAAGCATAGTTTTCAGCCTCACTATAAAATTTGCTATGTTGAATGAGCAGTGGAAGAATGGAGTTTCCTATATAACGATTCATACTCAGAGCCATATCAGATTCACTACCATCATTCTATAAAAAAATGTACATTTAGTGAAAAAACATTCAAGTACCTAAATCTTACCCTATCAAGCATAGTAGCACATCTCAAATCGGGAAGAAAAGCTTCCTCCAATAACCGAAAGAACAACTCTTGAGTTTCAATTCCATATACTCTCTCCAAAAACAAAACTACTGACTGTTTATGACCAGGTATTAAGCCAGATGGCATGTCCGACTTTGGCCGTTCTTCCCCAGCTGCAGGGTTATGAAGGCTAAATCTTAAACTCAGTACACCTTGAAGATCCTCTAGTGGCACCAAAGACCTCAATATGGCCCTTGCTCTCAAGGATTCATTTTTGCCCTACAAACCAGTCAATTACTATTATATTGACCTAAATTCATCTTATACTTACCAGAGCTATAACTGAAGAATCGGGAGCACACCTACCAAGCAGATCCACCAAGGTACAATAAAAATTAAGGATTGCAGCTCCTGTATCAATGTAATCTTCATCATCATCGCTTTCAGGCAATGGGTGTGTAAATTGAGCACAGTTAACAACGGTTCCTTCCGCTTCATCCATCATTTTTCTCCTATCAGCTATCCTTTCAGACATCTTATTAGCATCTACTATTGCCTTCAAAAGACCTTCGCCTTCACCCCTCAAGGCAGGACCCAAGCATTCTGGTCGTCTAATCAAAAGTCTGATAACTAAATTAGCATTTTCCTCTACACTTTCCCCGTTTACCCATACGCAGAACCTGAGAAAATCTAAGTATCTTTCTCCTTCAACTGGATCCCATCCAAGATCCGGGTAACCTTTTTCAACTAGTTCTGAATTTGATTGTAAACCACACCTAGACAAGTAAATAGCGATTTTCTCTAGATAATGCTCGCGAAGAGCCAATGCTAGTTCTGTATTCTCCATGAGAGACGAGTATGAAACGTCCAATGGAGTTGACCCTCTCAAGCTAGGTCTAGACAGAAGGATATTGCTATTGTCTAGTAAAAAGTCAAAATGTTCGAACATGGCCTTCTGATTCTGTCTGCCAGTCCTACAGAAATAGCAAAGAAAACGACAACAAGCTACAACCATTTCATGAGATGTATCCTAAAAAATTACATTACAGTTTCTATTTACAAAGCTTGTTATCAACCAACCTTTTCCTTGATAACAACCTCTCCTTCAGTGGCTTGCTGTTGAGTACTTGCATCAGATTGAGCCTGAGATCGTCTTCCCAAAGTGTTAATCATCACTGCCATTACATTTTCGTGGATACGTAAAACTCTTATAAGATCAGGGTGCTGGAAAAATGTATGATTGTTAACAAGTTTCCATAGTCTTTCTCTCATTAATTCTTCTTCTTCCTGAGACATTTGTACTGGCAGTAAGGCTCTTATTTGACTCAAACCCACCCACATTTCAGCAACATCTTCTTTTGTCTTGATATTGATGATGTAAGTTTTTTCTAATGCTCTGATCAGCTCGCCAACCGAATCATACTGTCTCACCAACAAACTGGCAATACGATAATATATGTCACTATTTTTAAAATTGGTTCATATTATCATTCACTCACCTAAACATTTCTTGAACCAGTTTAGGTGTCTCGATTTGTGTTTCTTCAGCCCATCTAACTATAGTACTAATCAAAACTTTCCTGAAGTTCTCCTCTGGGGTTTTCTTTTCAGGACCTGGGTCTTCTTTGGGCTCTTCTTCTAACTCTTTCACAGCATTTATCAAGTTGTATAATTTTTTAATTGGTCCAGGTTTTACCAAGTCATCAGGATTTTCTTCTACTTGGGGTGCTAACAAAGCTTGTAACGAGACATGTTTCATGAGCTTGTCATGAAAATTATTCATTCTCTCACAAAGATCTTCACCTAATGGACAGTTGTCCTTGTCTTCTTCCTCTAAGTTTTTGAAACCTAAAACGTTCCGAAACTGTAACGGAGGATATAAGAATTGTCTTTTCCAAATATTTAGCATCAAACCACTGAGAAGGGACAATAAACACTACAGGTTACAAATTCCAAAATCAAATTAGGTAGGATGAGGCCAAGTATACTTTTGTACCTCAAAGGTAGTTTTCTAGCTGAAGCCATTCTGCTAATTGTCAAATCAAATATAAAAAATAATATCAAAATAAGCCATGAATATTACTGAAGTTTTATCCCAACACCAAACCGTTATTTTAACACCTCAACACGTGTTTCAATCACCAAGTGATCATCTTCAAAAGGAAGATTAAACGTTAGTTTCAATTAACAAGTGATCATCTTCAAGAGGAAGATTAAACTAGGTTTAATCACTTGGTGATTAAAACACGTGTCAAAGTGTTAAAAATAACGGTTTGGTGCTAGGTTAAACTCCAGTAATATTCATGACTACACCAAATGTTCCAAACAGTGCATTACAAGTTCAAAATAAGCGAACAAAAAATACCCAAAGTTAAATTGCCTACTGAAACTACTAGGTTGAAAATAAAAGGCTTCTACAAAATCTACTACAGCTCGAAAAAATTAAATCCATAAAAATATCTTGCAAAAAAAAAGCTTCCATATAAAAAGAAACTACTTTCTAGGGCCTCAAAAGAATTGACACGCGTATATTCACTTACTCAAATAATTTAGACACAATTTTGAGAACTGCCTTCCTCAATAGTTTGTGGATATAATATTCAACTTCATCAAAGATTTGAAAAAAATATGTTACTCTCGTCAGAGTTATATAAAAGGCAGAAATATGTGGTAGATGGGTAAGTTTGTTTGCACTTCTCTGATTAACTGTACATGTTATAAAATCAACATCAACGTTAGTTACACTTCAGTGAATAAAAATTGCTCTTCTATAATTATTTCCAAGAAACTTGATTTTGTTAAAATACAAATTTACTATTTATTTAAAAATTAGTTTTATTCACTGAAATTTGACACATTTCCTATGAAAATATTTAGTAGTTAACACTTTATAATCAGCTGTATGAATTATTTCATTATTATCAGTTTGTTAAAATGATGACATGACTTTCAAATCATACGCTTGCCAATATCTTTTTAACGTACCTGCTATTCGCTTAAACTTACACAAAATGGCATTCATTTGTTCCCTTGGAGGACACCTGAATTCCCTAGTCTTTTTAGCTGCTACCGCAGAAGGCAAGTCGGATTGCTTAATCTCAATGTAACGTCTCAACTGATCTGTTTGCAATTCGCTCACGAAATCATGACTGAAAGCTATAATCGACTCGACTCTGTGTCTCAATTGGATGTCACACAGATGGTGTAAAAGATAACACATTTGTAACTTGGCTCCTTCAGCCATTTTCATTGAAAGGAGACCTTTTCGGTGTTCATCTTTGCCGTCTTTTTGGAATAAAACGTCCCAAGTTTCAGGGCAAATCATTATAAGTAGTTTTTCAACATCCTCGTCTGTAAGCATGCCAACCAACAATAAACGATCAACGAGTTTTAGAAGAGGTCTGAAAATCAAGAATAACTCTTAAATTATAACTATTTAAAACACTTTCAATAATTCAAAATATATTTTTAAAGTCATTTTTACTCTGATTGCTGTTAACTTACAAAAAAAGATTTTCATTGGATCCACCAATTGGATCTCTGTTATGTACTTGGTTAGTCTCTACAGATTCTGCCAAAGCCATCATTACATAATCCCTTACAATGTCAAGAGGAAAATGAGGTGAATAGAGTTTTTTTATGTTTTCAATGTTTTCCCTTAAAAATAAGCATTACTGATACAAAAATCTTACAAATAGAATACACAACTAACGTTATATCCGACATCTTCATCTGGGGTTGTATAGACTCCATTTTGAGTCTTCTCAAACTATGTCCCATTTCAGGATCCTCATACATATCTTTCAGCTCCTGGCCAATGGGTATAACATACTCATTCTTGCATACTTCCCTGAAATACCAAATATTCAATGAAAATTACTTAAAGCAGTAAATCCTACATTGTAGTTGCCGTGGATTCCAAATGGACAGCAATCAGTAAATCATAGAAGCCTTGACGTAGGGGACCACTCATATACTCAGACTTGATAGCATAAAGCAGTTGCTTCTGGTCAACATGTTTACAGAGTACATGGGCTGCTTTGTAATTGCTCTGGTAACATAGAGCAGCATATAAAGTTAAAGTGTGCGCGTGAAAGCTCAACAATTTATCCATTTCAATTAGTTCCAATATATCGATGCAACGATCTTCTTCTGGAATGTGGAGAGCAAGCATTGAAATCGGGTCCTCGCATAACATAGACCAACCTCGGATATCAGATAACTTCAAAGCATGCACTTGAAGACTCTGATTGGGAACCTAAAGAAAAAACAAGTCATATTCTCGATGAGAGCCTCGGCAAATCATGATCTCACCCTTGCCCACTGGTGTGGTTTTAAACATTGGACTTTCAACCTTGGAGGAAACTGAGGAATAACATGTCTGGCACTGTTTTGTAGAACAGCAGCAGATAATGGCAGACTTGTTGAAGTTCTGCCCAATTCAAATTGTAGGACCTCCTTACTTGTTGCTTCAACAAATATTGCCGGAAATAGTTTTGTTTCAGGCTCCATCTATAATAATATCAAAAAGTTAATATTCTATTCATTTCTGAATCATATTTATATACTGATTTTGAAATAACAAGGCTGTCACGAACATTCTGAGCAGTTCCAGTTGAAAGATTGATTAAACAAAGTGATATATTCATTAGGATTAATCGGGATGGTTTAGAAAAATGTGAGTTGGTTAAACTCTAAAAAATAAAAAATTCACAATTCGAATTTTCAAATTTCTATTTTTTGTTTATTTTTAAAAGGGTACTCAAACTTGTGATTACCCTTTGTAATATAAAACTACTAATTACTCAGGAACAGCTGGTTTGATTTCAAAAATAAACCGATATTGAATACAAGACTCTGTTTGTCGCTCCCTCAATGAGTGATGCAACAATAGTGTTTTTATTATTGAAAGTAGGTACTAAAAATTATGCTTTTACATAGACTTTATCCAACCTGAATATTTTCCAGTTCAAAAGTCAATATCGATTATTCAATGGTTGAAATCAGAAATTTCATGTTTTAACAAGCTCCAAGTTTAAAATTTCTTTTCACATTTACCTTGAACTTATGTGACGTCTGTTTACCATCACATGTGAATGTTATAATTCCTGTAGCAGCATCCAAGAAACAACCTATAAACATTCCTTGTGATGCTCCCTTTCCTGATGCATCCTGAGTTACCTGATTATATAATTCATCTGATCTAACCATATAACAAGATTGTCTGTCGATACTAAAAAAAATCTGTTACACCGGCTAACAGTTAACTCAAATGGTAAATTTACCAGTCAATAACTCTGTCGAAGTCATCAACAATCACCACTGAAGTTTTGAGTACTTGATTTTGATTGAAATCTTTGCTGTGAAGATGGTACTGTGTAGTCACCCAACCAACGTAAGTGTGTGCTGGGTCCTGGCCAGGAAAGATACGAACACCTGCAAAAATTCATGAACAAAACCATCGATTATGAAAAAATGTATTGTCATACCATAGAAGTATTCGTTGATGAGTTTAAGACACTCTGCATCATAAATTTCATTACCAACTGCCTCAATACCAGAAGGGTGAGTAATCGTCAACTGTTTTTGTTGACGATCGGGTACCGACTGTGGTTGTAGATCATTCTACGAATCGAAATCATCAAGGCTAGTTTTTCTAAATACCTACTGAGACCTACCTGAGACTGTTTAACTGTAGGTTGTCTTTGCAACATGGTAGTTGATAAGCCTACAGACCTTGCTTGAGGACTCATACCTGTCATTCTCGGAACTGGTTCAGGAGTCTTAGTTTTCTTATTTCTTATTCTGTCGCCGCTGGTATTTTCACGGTTTTTCTTCGAAAAAAATCTAGAAAAAAAATGTATGTACCTTCATTAATGATTACAAGGAAAGTTTAGCATAAGTAGTTATTGCTTGTTTTACCTGATTACACTGTCACTGCTCAAATTGCAAAAAGAAAACATTATATTGTTTTTAAAATGGAATTTTGATCAAACCACTCACCTGAAAGGCGACCTCCCTCTCTTTTTCTTATCATCCAACTTTTCCTGATTTGATGGAGCAATGTCATGATACCTGTTCATATCTAATTCACTGCTGGAGCGGTGAACACCTCTGCCAATATTCACACCAAGTGCTAAAATATGAAGGCCCTGAGATAACATCATCTCATAGTTACTTTCCAATACCTACTGTTTTCATCGTAGCCGTTCATATTTCTTGATAATGATCCTTTTCTAGGAGGCCTAGCTGGCACATTCCTTGTAGACTTACTGGATTGTTGTTTCACAATTTCGTCTGACTCGACTGCATCCTCAGAATAGTTACGGTGAAGGCCTTTGATATCGCTCATAGAAAAACCACTTCTCATGATATTCTCTATGTGGGCAGGTGGACCTTGCTGGTCTGCCTCAACTTTCAATCTGTGTTGCCTAATTTTTATTTCATTCCATCTACGCATTTTTTCTTCTTCTCTGAAATTGTCCAAAATGGGAACAAAATTCAACTCGTTGAAAAGAGTCTTACGTGATGAACTGAGAATGACAAATAACTGGTAAACTCAACCTCAAAAACTCCCAGTTTGCCTTTTCCATTGTTTCGAATGTATTATGGCTAATTTTCAAGCAAGGTGGCGAATCAGAACCAGGTAGAATTCTAGTAACATCTATTTTGGAATCTGGTATATCGTCCGTATTTTCAAAGATTGGCTGATCTTTTGTGTACCAATAAGTAACTGCCCGTTTCATATTACTATAAGAAAAAAACAAAAATACACTTCTAGCAATGTTATTTTCTCAAAAAACTTACACACAGAATGGTTCATAGCCTTCTTGCAAACCGCACATAGTGAAATACTTCAACTGTGTTACATCTTGTCCAAAAATTAATTTAGCTTTTTGACCAACACCCAATGTGAATGCAGGTACGAAGTTATCTCCTTGTACATCAGCAAAAGTTGTTTCTCCACCAAGAGCATCCATAAGTAATTCGCCATTCAGTGAAAAACCTTGACAGTGGTGAGATAAAATGATGAGATGATTGTTACATGTTACGTCAAAAACAAGAAAATAAAGGATTTCACTTAGGGTCTTATTTTCATGCGGTAAATTACTAGGATACATTGCCAAACATAAAATGGTTTACAAGTCTCTAAGTATCATCAAACACAACGTCTTACTGGTGGTAAAGATTTTCAAAAAAAATTCAAATCTCCTCCAAAAACAAGTGTTCAATAAAATGCTTTTCAACTCACAATAATAATAGTAATATTAATCCTCCCTATATCGTACTGATTTCATCGTTTCCAAAAAGCATGCATGCTATTGTCATTATATGTAGTGACTTTACAAGTCACCTTTTGTTTTCTGATGGTCATTTGCTATTAAGGTGAAGAAAAACGTTCAGTACGACCCAATCAGACCTAGGTTGCGTTCATAAACTCACTCCTGCCGATAGAGCAAAGTTAGATATCACTTGATCAGAAATATATTGCCATCTAATACTCGGATTACCTGTTTGAAAACCATTTCGCATGTATACATAATATCGATTTCAACTTTCACCTGTTCAAAAAATTTCATTGCATCTTATTTTACTATAAACAACATAAAAATAAACAGGTGCACCCAAATTTATGACTTGGCATTATCTTTGACAATTCTCTTAGGTTTAATAACCGTGTTAAGAATCACACGTTAAAAGGTAAGACCTCGTTAGTCCTTAGCTCGCACAATTTTTTCAACTTCTGAAAGTTGTCGTTCCTATCGGCGCGACAGCTGATTAACGAAGAAACAGATTTTTTTTAAAAACAGATTTAATAGCCATATAGAATACATAACAAATCGGACAAATAAAATGTTGAGACAAGGGACTTTAAAAATATAAAAACGTTAAAAAATACTGTATTCATCTTTTTTACGCAGTCATATGGAATTTGGCTTTATTTTATGGGCACCAACATCGATGACTCTGAGAATGTCTGTTGAAACGATAAAAGTCTGTTGAAACACAGGAGTCCTGATTATTCATCTTACGAACCCCACAAAAAATAATTTGATTGAATCAAACTTGAACACCTTGCAGATAACCATAGGATAACTTTCATTAGTAAACTTTTCAATGATTTAATAAATAACGCATATCTTCTATCTGAAATCAAGTTCCGTATTCCACTGTAAACGTTGAGACCTGACAAGATTTAATTTTTCATACCTAGGAGCCTCAATATCATTGAAAATAGCTCTTGCTTGCTCAATAAATCCATGCAAGAATCACCCAATTTGGATATTTTCACATTCACTACTCGTCATCTTAAATTATGTATAACAATATATCATTTATGACAACTTCTTTTTTTATCGTTCTTACTTCTGTCAATAAAAGAGACTAAGCCAGTTCAATTTCCATTCTATATTTGAGTATCACTATTTATCAATAGGACTATGAATTTCAAAAGATCGGTGAGATGGTTTCTCTCTGTCAATCTGACACAACTGAAAGAAAAGTAGGATATGTTTTCCACATATATGGTCATATAACTAAGCAAATAAAGTTTTCTTGTACCACTTGGAGATACTTAGTAGAATATTTTCTTTCATCAAGCCTCAAAATAAAGAAAAAAATTATCAGTTTTAGATTTAATCATGAGTTTGTTTTGATTTTGGATAAAAAAGGGTTTTCCAAAAACCGAGACAAGTGTTTCGCTATACAATGGCTTCCTCAAGGTTTACGCTTGTATAGCGAAACACGTGTCATGGTTTTTGTAAAACCCTTTATAGTGAAAATCATACAATAAACTGTATTATATAGTTTTGAATTGAGGTTAGCAATTATATCTACGCACATTATTGTTTCAAATACATGTATATGTTGTAGTTGCATTTGTCTATACCGTATTATTTACTAAAAATTTCATGATGCAGTGCACACCAAATATTTGTTTCAAATTCAATTTGTAATATGTCATAACTGTAAGGGTATGACTTTACTCCATTTGAGAGAATAATAATCAGAGTTAACTTCAAGTAAGTTTCTGAACTTTGTATAAAATTTACAATATTAGAGTATGTTTATGAACAATTCAGAATAATATCATCATATTCTAAGTGAGTTTATGAACGCAATCCCAGACATGCGCTGAACACAAGGGTTGGTATCCAAGCAACTCTCATTGATTCTTCGATTCCCTGGGCATCAATCCAACTAAGTTATATTTGAGCTCTATAGAAATATGTGAACTGAAAGTGCATGATTTTTACTTGAATCGAGAGAGTTAGTTTTAATACTTAGAGACTGTATTTCTATCTTCACTAAAATGTATCAGCTTCAATCAACATAGTGAAATTAAAAGTAAGATTGAAAAATGACTACTAGTTTTTCTGAAAAATATTTTGGCTATCAATCAAAATTGAAACCACAGTTTTAAATGACTAAATGTAAACACAATAAAGTATTCCATAAAACAATTAGGAAAAATTACTGATACATTATATCGAGTACATCAAATAACAAAAACATAAAAATGATTCTGCAGGAATAGACAAATGATAGTAAAAAAATCAATGAATTTCAGCAATAAGTAAAAAGCAATTATTGACGTGGCAAATGATAGAAAATAAAGCAAATAAATTAAAATAAGCTTCAATTTTCAGAATAGCTATTTTCAGATTCTTACTTATGGTATGATCGATAAGGTCAAGAAAAACCCCAACTACATCGCCTACTTGCCACTGTTTACCAAATGATTCAGCAGAATTGCTGTAAACTTTCTCTTCCTACAGAAATGAAAATGCATTATTAAAACTATCACAAACAAATTTTAATTTAGTTTTTTCAATTGAACAAAAGGTGTTATTCCCAAAAATCTCAATCAACTCACTGATGATTTTATCAGTTATATCAATAAAACAACCAATTACATCTCCTAGCTGATATTTAATACCAAAAGGTTCTACAGATCCCCCATGATGCTTTTTTTGCTAAAGAAGAGTTATTGTATTACTTGTTTTCCAATTCTTGTTAAAAAATAATCAGTTATAACCATGACTCTCATATTTGTACTCACATTATATCCATCAAATGCCCAAGTGTTCTCATCCGAACCAAGCATACATCCAGCAGCACAATCTGCCTTGGCCCATCCAACTCTCATTGGTCCAGCTGTCAAAATTTCAAACTCAAAGTACCATTTGCCATCGCTAACAGCGTAGTTTTTCTCGGCTCTATAAGTCCTAAACTCTGAATGCCTAGACCTGCTTGCTTCAGCTAGAAGTGTTTCTTGTTGCTCTCCTGTAGGAGGATCTAGGTTATATCCATAAACTAGTAAAGTTCTTACTGTTTCTGAAGCTGTATCTCTATTAGCCTTTTTGATTGCATCATCAACTTTACCATAAGGAACTAAGTGGGGGCTTCGAAACATATCAGGATCCTGAAAATTGATGATTTAGGAAGGTCTATCCAAAGAGTATAATGAGATAACGCACTTCATTGAGACCATAGGTCCAACCCTGTTGAATTCTTTCCTTGGCCCAGAGATTATGAGTATTTTCAGCTAGTTGGTCGACCAATTCTTCAAGTTTAGCTGTCAAACTTATAGCCCCCAAATCAAGAGGAGCTGGTTTGTAGCCATTGGGTTGCATGAAAGGTTCATTTGGCAAACGAATAGTTTTTATTCTGGATGGTGGTTTATCCATGGTAATATAATATCCCAAAGCGATGATTGTCCTAAAATGAAACCGATTTACTATAAGGAATACTCTTGTTTTTCAGTGTCTTACTTCAGTGTTTGAACTGCGAGCTGTGAATCATATCTTTTTTCAGCCGCAGGCAGCTTGTCGAAAGGTACCAGGCATGGATGAATATGTCTCACATCATCTCTGAATTCTCCCCACTGCCATCCGGCCTCAATTTTGTTCATAGCCCACATTTCGTGAATATTCTCTGCTAGTTTATCTCTTATGGATTCGATGTAACCAGCCAATGTAACCATGGAAGTATCTACTGGGTTCGGTACAAAAGCTGTGTCGTCTTCTACAAATAGTGGACCAGCAATGACATTTTTTGCCATATTGCCGAAGTAGAAACAAGGTTCCAACATGAGAACTTGCTGAGGAAGAAGACTCTCTACAAGAGGAGAAAAGTCTTCTGGTGGAAGATATTTCAATTTTTTGATACTTTTTGTAATCATTTGGTAACCCTTAATTTTTGTATATAGGAATTCCTCAATTGAATATGATTAAAGGTTCTGCAATATAGATAGCCATCAATGTCATATTTTTTGGTAATTTTAAAAGTAGTTTTATTGATAATGGAATTTATTTCTACAGGAGTTGTTTGAAATAAATAGAAGATTATATGTGTATTCCTATTTTCATATTTTAGTTTGGATGTTGGTTAGTATCATTTGCAATTATAAAATGGTCGTTAATCTAAAAAACTTTTTATTTTTGTCCGAGATTTGAACTTTTATTAAAATTAATTTTATTATTGCACCTATTTTTTTCCATGATTTTCATTGTCATAATTAATTCTTTTCCAACTCTCTTTCACTATATTATTTTTGTTTTCAACCGTATTACTATTCAGCTGCCTTTGAAATTATTCAATTATTGATATCCTTTTTTAAATTGATTATACCTCATTGTATAGCTTACATCACCTAATTCCTTTTCAGCTTATTCATTTCGAATAATTGGTTATGTATTTTCTTTATTTGTGGTAGAAACTGCTGCTTCCTTTTTGGCTTCACGATTCTTTTAGTTTTAGTAAAAACTATATTACTATGTTAAAAACAGATAACCTAACTTTTCTCTATTCTCTCTCATTTACTCTAAGATTTCCATCATCTGAGATGTGATCCTCTCAGGACCAAAATATACAGCTCTGAAATCATACCTGTGGACCAACTTCTGGAATATTCTCTACAGCAGTCATAATGGCATGCAGGTTTTTTTGCCTCTGGTTTGGTTAAACCATCTTTTTATGTTTTGAAATTAAAGAACTCACCTCAATTTGGAAGAACAGCTGATTACAGGAAAAAACATGCCATCTAAATTGAAGTTTCGGAAGCTTCCCTTGATTGGGACTCCATTAAAAGTGAAGTTAATTATTGGAATAGTCAAGTCTAAGGCACAGCCAATCACATCAGCTAAAAATGAGACCATTCTTAGTAGAACTATAGGCAGCTTATACATTACTTACATTTTCTTATGAAGGGTTCTGTATTGCTGAATACAACTCTAGTACTTCTACCACCTGTCCAAAAGTATGCACCATCAAATCCATAAGAGTATAAGTCATCACCAACTCCATTTCCACCCCACTTTTCACCACCTCCAGGGTACGGCACATAACTGAAACAACAATATCAGTTACTGAATGTCCATTGGAAGTTGAAACCTAATTACCCTTTAGAGTTGGCCCAACCTATTCTCAAATGTGGCACCATATGTGTACTTTGCTCCAGATGGTCTACCGTTACCTCAAAATACCACTTTTGGTAAATAGCACTACCATCTACTCTTCCTACAAATATATTTGGCCGAACACTGTAAGTGAGGTAACATAAAAATCATGGAAGTGTTTCTATCAAATTGCTATACCTTGCTACATGATCAACCAGCTGAGTTTGCAGAAGTAAATTTTTACCAGGTAACAAAAAATCACAAATATTGTTTTGAGAACTTCGTACAGCTACCCCATTACCAACACAAAGTGAGCATAAGACATCCAGCACCTTGGGATCCCTTCCATGCTTCTCTAACAAGGAAATGATAACTTTTATATGCTCATCCTGAAAAACGAAACCATGAAAGCATCGATGAAAACATTAAATAACAAGTCTCTCACTCTCATCATATTCAAAGCTTCTGGTGAATCTATCAGTACACAGTGCAATACATCTAACATTCCGGTACCTTCACTGGAGGCTTGAGATCCCAATCTCGAAAATAACCAGTTCAAACGATTTGAATTAGCAAATTGGGCACAGTTTGTATGGTTGCCTTTGATGATGGCGGCTAAAATAAAGTTTTGAAATCAATGAGTAGGAAATTGATTACATTATTCACTATCAAAAAACTTTCAGTGGAGTACAAATGAAATGATAACATCAATAAACCTAGAAACAAAATATTGAGGGGTTGAATACAAGGTTGAATGTTAATTTTTCCCTTGGGTCTATTGAACCTTTACTTGTCATTAACATCCATATAGATAAAAACATATTACATCCACTCTCTAAAAAGTATTCACGTGGATCAAGCTTAACTATACATCTACTTTTATGAAACCTGACCCCGATTACTATCATTGTCAACATGACACACTTGACTATTTGAACTTTCAAAAAGTAGATGTTTTATCCTTTAGATTGTAAAACTTTGATGTCATATCTATTGTCAAGGCAGGAATACCTACTTTCTGAGAAGATATCATTTCAATATTTGTAATAGTGAAGCAAAATGAATGAAAATTCAGTTGCCCCTAGAATCCTTGATTGATTTTATTGAATGAAACTAAACTTTTTCTATATCGATTACAAACTCACATCTTTAAAGCAGTTTTATTGAAAAAAAACAGGTTGTAAAACTATTTTTGTAAAAGTATATTAAAATTGAGTGTCTGAGTAAGAGAAGGGTCTATGCCATACGAGTTGTTTTTTTTTTTTTTTAATGGTTCTGGATCGTGCTGCTACCTGTTGACCATAATACAAACTCCTTGAAAGAGTGTGATATTTCCACATTCATTTTCAAAATATGAATAATAATTCATTTTAGTGTATGTTTGATTTATTCTAATAAGACCTTCATTTTCTCAAAAAGTTTTTAAGTACCGTAAAAACGTGGTCATTTTTATTACAAAGATTGAAACACTCTTTCAAGGTTACCCAACTTAAGTCCACAGTGTAATACTCTGAAGTATGTTTTGGATTTCCAATGATATGTATGATAGAATTCTATTTAGAGCTCAATGACATGAGTGATATATATTTCTTATTTTCATTACATCATAAGGGCCTGTTGAATTTTATTTTTATTACCTAATAACTGATAGAGATACCCTCCAATCATTTCCCAGCTCTGATCCCCAGCAAGTGCTGCCAAAAATCCTTGTGAAGTAATTACATTGATTTTGTCGATTGCTTCTAAAATAAGATTAAGAATACCCTCTTCTTGAAACAAGTCCTGTCGATTCCTCAAAGCACGAAGTTTATTTTGTTTTTCTTCGTGTTCTGTAATAAATAATATTTCAAGTATGGAAAAATCGAAAAAAATATAAAATTATTACCCATGTCATCTTCAGGTTGTGCAAAGTAGTTGATCAAGTCTTCAAGACACATTACCATTTCATTCAAATTAACCACTTGGAAGAACATCGAATGTCTTCGATTCATTTGAAGTTGTTCTAGACCACTGAAAACAAGTTACTGAAGAATATTTGAATAATATTTGAAATAAAAGAAATGCAGGCTTTCCCAGCTGTCGTCAATGTTTTGATTGGTTTCCAGGTTTTGCCGCGGTCTTGTTTGGTTATAATCTCCGAACGTTTCAACTGCAACTGCGGCAGTCATCTTCATGGGCGTGGTTGAAGTACCCTTCTTGATGTATCTTAACGTTTCAGTTAATACTGGAGATTATAACCAAAGAAGACCATGGTACAACCTGGAAACCAAACAAAACAATATTTGAAATGTAACTTGGCAATGTTAAGCAAATATTCAAATGTGTATATTCTGCATTATTTTCAATAACTTCATCGTTCAAAGGGACTTGTTGTGATGGTGTCTAATTGAAAATGTTTAATTCCAGTTCGGATTGAAATATTGAAGTTTTCTTTACATATGTCACAGATGAAACTAAAATTATTGATTATTTGTATACAATTATTGAATAACCTTTTCAGAAGTTGAAATATAGATGAAACTCACTTAATAAATTGTGTGAAAAGTGAACTGCATTTACGAATTACTCTGGCAGTTCGTGATTCCTCCTCTTGACTTCTACTAAAATCAAGGCCGTCATCCATTTTTCCCTCTTCATGTAGCACTGCTTGCTTTTCTTCCACCTTACCAACACCTTTCTTCTTTGTTTCATATGCCTGGGAAAAAATAAAATGAAAAATATTTAATGTTTACCAAAAAATCAATGTCACCTTGTATGACAACCAGAGTCCAGACTCGGAGTGTTGAACTATAACCGTTGAATCTCCATATTTAATGATTGGTGCACCAATAACCTCTAAATCCTTATCTTCTAGAACAACTTTTTGATCATCTTTCTCTTGTCGTAAACAAAATGCCGTTGTAGCAGTGTTTGCTTCATCTCTAAAATGAATACGTTCAACTCATGCTTGTACAGGAAAACTCATACCTTCTTACCTACTGACAAGATACAATTCATTGTTTTCATTCACAGCCAAGTATCTCCCAGTTGTGATATGTCGAATCCTCATAGGATGGTACCAATTTATAAAACCACCAGCCCATTTTGTACGAGCTAACTCTAATCTCCAAAGGGACCTAGCTTGGGACATCACACTTCCTCCTTCATACACTACAATACTGCAAAATATTTAAAAATAAAACGGATTGAATATTTTTGATATATGTAAAATAAATTTACTTATGTCCTGGTTCCATATCCCAAGTAGATGGTATAGTGAGGCATTCGTCACCTCCATGGAAAAATCTTAGTACATCACCTCCGAAGACATAACCTACGTATTTCATCCTGGATATTCCTGTGCCATACGGCTGAACAGACCAATGGGTGACGTGGAAACTTGCGTTAACAATTGATATTTCATTCTCTTTAGTTGTGTGCTAAGAAGTTTGATGAAATTTTATGAGAGTTAGGTGTATATAACATACTTTTCAACTTACTAAATATCTTTCAGTAGCCACTGAAACCAGAATCAGATCGTCTCCCACTCTCACTTTTTCACCTTCAGATCTAGAAGCAATCAGTTTACTCAGTGAATCTTTCATTAGCTGACATTGTTATACAGACCTCTGCTTGCTAGCAGGATGTACTGTCCACCAACAAGCCTCTCCATGGCTGTGATCTTGTAAACCAACATCGAAGGCTAATTTGTCGTTACTGGAGCTCGTTGACAAACATGCTAAATACTGAAATCATGGATGCAGATATCCGTGTATATAATTGTATGTGAAAATACGTACCATATCACTGTTCTGATGCCTTAGAAGAATAGCATTTCCATACAATAAAGTCCTGTGTCCTGATCCAGTTCCTTTGCCCTAAAAAATTTAAATAAGTAACAATGTTCAACATAAAATACCACAAGTAAAGAATGAGAACGCTGTCTTATTTTATAAATTTTAGTAAGTGTACTTTCCAAATTCTACCACTGCAAATAATTTTGTTAGAAGATTCTACTGCCATTAAGTGAAAAGTTATTATAGAAGGAAGGCCTCAAATTTTTTGGAGCTCTAAAACAAGATACTAGGTCAAAATAGTTACGAACTTCTCTAAATGAACGAAGGAAAAAATCATTTAGAAATAATACGAATTACAGCTGCAATTTTCAAATCAAGTTCATTTGTATAGTTGTGTGTTGAAACAGGTAATTCACATACCAAATACAGAAAAGAAGTTTGATATTACCCAAAATAATGTTATTCATATTATTGAACTTTAACTTAATGAATTTTATATTGGTACTGACATTACTTCAGTTTTGAATATATAGTTCAGTGAATGCGGAGTTCCACAAGGGTCTATTTTGGGCCCAGCTCTATTCTTGATATACATTAATCCTATTTCCAAATTATTTTTTAAAGGAAATATTAAGTTATTCGCAAATGACACATTACTTTATTGTTCTAGTGATACTAAAGAAAATTACCATAACATGATTAATGACATTATATTGCTGACATCTTGGTTAAATTATCATGAATTGAGTTTAAATTATGAAAATTCTTCTTTAATGATGAAAGTCTCTGTTGCATTACTCATATTGAGATGTTAAAAAAGAAAGTCGGACCAATTTTAGGAATATTATTTAGGGTTAGAAATAGGGTTAGAATTTAAGGTTAGGGTTAGGGTGAGAATTTAGTGTTAGTAATAAATGTATATATTTTTGTTTAATATATTCGAATTTACAATATTCAATTTCAATTTAAAAAACAGTTTGTTCCTCAATACTGAATTATCTGTCTTGTAAGCCTTCTAAAGGTATTCATTGTAACCAGATATAACATTAATCTGAGTTATAAACTCAATATTTAATGAAACGATTTTTTTTAATTACATCTCCACCATTTTAACCTCTTGAAAGACTGATGGAATGTTTATCTTGTTGCATCTACTACGATATGATATGATTTTTGTTTTACTTATTTCAACTTATTTCCAGGCTAAGGTCTGAAAATTGTGGAAATTTATCTGGTTGAATTGACTCCCAGGTATAATTTTTGGCAATACGGCACCTGAACAAAGTCAATTTTTAATATCACGATACCTCTTCAGATGGCCTAAAAAATTCAGTCATGATATGCATATTACTGAATTTGACTACCAAAAATAATACACTTCATTATGTGATGTATACAATGTTGAGTGTTGATGATAAGATTTTTTTTAACTTTAGTCGCAATATTTTATCTACTTCAAACACCGTGGAAAACTCGAATGTAACATTGATTTCGCAAAGTAATATCATACTGAATATTGCTAGAAAAGAGAGAATTATTAACTTATTATTTTTTATGTACTTTGTGTATGGAACAACCTTACTCTCATGAATGCTTATTAATTTATATATGATTGAACTGACTAAAAATGTGTTCGAGGAGGGATGATACATGGTTATTGAATGATCAAATAATAAATTCAGCTGCAACCATCTACTTCATATACCAATTGATCAAATCGAAAAAAATATGTTAGTAACTACATTGTTAAGGGTATGTTAAAATCTAATACAATACTTGACAACATGGAGAGTATGAGAAAATCACTTACTAAATTTTCCTGTCCCTGAAAAGCAAAAAATCAAGCAGGTGAAAAGGAAAACCAAAGGGGTAGTCAAACAAAATTTGAATAGAAATTGTAATTGACAGAAAATTATGAAAATTAGTGTGAGTAACGTGTTAAATATAAACAGAGGAAAAATATATGTGGATTGTCACAAAACATGTTACGAAAATAGAATTTTTAAGTTGTAAGTAATTATGAATTCAAGTTATTTATAACAAAAAATGGAATATAACCTAGTTCACTATTAGTTATTATTTATTTTGAAATTTTCAGGTGATTTAAATTTTCATTTTCAAAATGCATAAAACAAAAAAAAAACAGTTCAGAAGTCCCATCTGGAGTTCAATGCTCTGACTGCATTTGAACTATTATGTAAATTCCTTTCCTCAAGATCTAAAATTTCAGGACTGTTAAGGGTTGGCAGTCTTATATAAAGAAGCAAGAGTCACTCAAAATCATTTTTGGAATATATATTTCATTATTTTTTTTAATAAGGAACGGAACCTTCCTACTATCCTATAATAAAAATAGTACTAAATAAGTATGGCAGTGGATGAAATCAACAGATTTTGATATAACAACATAAAATATTCAAATACATCAAAATTATAAAAAAAAGTTGAACTTACAGTTTCGTTTCCAGCAGCAGTAACTAATTCTTGCAAAGCACGAACTGATAAAGCTTGTTCGATTACAAATACACATTGTGAAAGATCTGGTGGTATATTCTACAATGAAAAAATTATTCGATTAATTCAAAATTACTAAAATATCACTTATATTTTTTACCTTGTCTGCTATGTTTTCCAAAAAACAATGTCTGTTACCAAATCCTTCAGCTGCTAAACAGACACGTTCTCCAGTCGCAGTACATGAAAGACATACCATATCTTCCTATTAGATACAAAAAAAATTATGTAAATTATTTATTTTTCTGCAATATAACCTTAACTTACGGTTCGCAAGAATGAAACATCATCTTGTTCGGAACCCCCTTCGGCTTCAGCCATATTGAAGGGCTAATTTTATTCTAGAAGCGAATTAAACCATTATGTTTTTAGAAAATTTCAAATATTTCAACTTTCTATACAGATAAACATAACTTCGATTTTTTAAAACTATGCAGTACAAATGCTGCCAACTTAATTTAGAGGATGAACATAAAATCTTTGCAAATTTAGAAATAAAAGTATCTAGAGATGAAAATTCGTCTTAGGATATAACTATTGTGTATTATAGTGTTTACCACACTATTAATTTGTTTTTTCAGTTACAGCTGCATCTAGTATAAATATATATACTTTCAACTAATTTATCTCCTAAGATTTTCAAAATGTTTGTCTTGTGAATCAGTTATCTTCTTATGGCAAATGTTCGTCTCTAGACAGTAGTTCATCGAAACAAAAAATGGAAATATTGGACTAAGGGCTGGCAAAACTATTGTTTTCGTACCAGATCTAGTGATTTCGGCCAATGTTCTGTACGTTAGTGTTACATTTAATATATCTAGTACATTTTAGCAAATAATTTATATTTACGTCAATTGTCATATTTGAATTCTAAACAAATGTAAACCACGGTAATGAGTGTTTGCCATTTTGGTAATATAAATTATAACAAGTAAGTTGTGAATTATAAATTATAATTAATAATCATGTATCAATACGTTTTATTTTTAAAGGTTTGTTATACGAGAAAAAAAGCAGGTTGCTTTAGAACTAGAACCGGTTAATGAAAATGAAAGTATTGTTTAAGAAATAGACACTGATATTATCCAAGCAGAATTAGAGATACTTATTTTAACCATAACAACAATAATATGGATAATATGGAATAGTTAGTTTCTATACTAGAGGTATAGTATAGATCCATTTGTTTTGTTGACATCATATATCTATCTGGAATACCCTGCTGGGAATTATCTTCACTTTGACAAGAGAGTTTTCGCTGAGCACGTTATCCTGTCTCATGAAGAATATAGAAGGGCTTTCTTGCAACTGTCATATCGAAGCTCTGTTCACCAAGATATCATAAAAATAGCGGGTTTATGCAACTCTCTTCCTAAGACTAAGAACTAATAAGAGTTCGACCATAACAAATCAATGAAACTCAATGGAAACTTGACTAAGGCTAAGGACTATGCCTGAAAAGTTGGAAAATGTATAACTAATATTTAAGAGCCTAGGTGAAAAACAAAATAAGCATACCCCAAATTGTAAATATCTGTCAAACTACTGTCATTGACCTGATAAATTTCGAAATGATTCTTTCAAATTTGTATATATAATAATAATGGAAAAAATTAAGGAGTGTTGAACATTTTTTTATATGAAATTATTTTCAAAAGTGTAGTAATATATCAAATGATGAAGAATAATTGGGGTTATGTTAACATGTGAATACATAAACTGGACACGTTTCTTAGTTACTAGTTTCCAGGTTCAGTTCTTAGGTATTATTGCATAAACCCGCTTTAAATATGAACTAGTCAAAAACGTCCAAAGCCCAAGTATAAGTAGAAGAAGACCTGAAGAAGAATTCAAACTGGAATGAAAAACCTTTGCACACAATTTTAAATGATGACCATTCAAAACATTTTTGTCAATATCAATCATTCATAATCAATCATAATTACAAGCATTCTTGAAGCATTTCAACTTCGAAGCCAATACTTTCGAAACAACAAGTATGCTTTGCAGTTGGTAGTTACCCATAATGTAGCAACACTTTGACTTTCAATGGCCTATGAAATTATAGCATGAATAATTTTAGGGCACTCATTGAAGGAGCGATATCTATTGCAACTTAGGTCCAGCGTCACATTTTTCTTTTTGTTATGGTTTCATTTACAACTTGTTACTTTCCTCACAAATGAATGGGATCTCGTTTTTCACTGTACTCAATGATTGTTTACCACATTTTCACCCACAATATATATTGGTGGTAAACCATTTGGAATCAATATCAATAAAGAATAATCTGTATAAACTAGTGCAGGAAATCAGATTGTTGGAATGGGCTTCACGAAAGAGATGAGGAAAAAGAAAAAAAGAAATAGGCCCATGAGGCTGCCTGCAGTAGTTTCCGAACACTTAGACGAAATAGACAAGTCAAACAGCCCCCAGGAATAGCAAAAAAACCAGTTGTTCTTCTCAAAAAACTTGCAAGCCAAAACCATTGCAATTTTAAAACAATGAATATTCTATTATTTATTTTTAAATCTATAGTAATGTACACTAAGGTCAAGACGTGCACATTTATGAGCATGTGAATTTGTGAAATACGGTATTCATAGTAGAAGACTGAACAGTTCAGCACTTTCTACATGAAATGACAATTTGTGGACTATTACTATAACTACATGAGACGGATTCATTTATGTTATATGTCTAGTGAATTATAACATTTACACATACTAAACATCCAAAAGACGGCCGTTATAGGCTAAATATTACTGACTGAACGAATTTGAAGAATTAACGTCAATTTTTATTTCCGTTTTCATTTTCTGTATACCTACTCTTTCAAAACTGATAAAATCAGAACTTATTTAAAGAAATCATCGAAATCTCGTTTCACATTGATATTCCATGCAAGATCTTCAGAGTTAGTATTTAAGGTTTCCAACCTGTATTATTAATATTAATGTTGGCTTTGTTTATTTCCTTAATTATATAAACGTCTTGGGAAACCAAAAATTTGAATATTGATGTTCTTTAATCAATAACAGGAAACTAATTTCACTTCATAACAGAGTAGAGATTTTACATTTAACAGAACAAAGCTAATTGATAGAAGAGGAGCATGATTAGTTCCGTATTATTTCGTCAATTATATAAAGGTCTCGGGGAACCGGAAGTAAAAAGTTCGATATTGATATGCTTCAATCACAGTATTATCAACAATAGGAACTAATTTCACTTCAAAACAGACAAAAGATTGTACTTTCAATAAAACAAAGCTAATGGATAGGAGAGGTGGATGAAGGCTGTTCAGCCACTATGTACCAGGTAAGTAATTTAATTTGGCATTTGATAGAATCACTTCCATATTAGTTTGGGAACATTATTTCTTGACCCATTCATTTTGTGAATATGTTTAGTACATTTCTTATTAAAACTAGGTAATAGGAGCTAATTTATTTTCTGATTTTTCATTAATAAACACGACAATAGGAGATGAGTTATTACTTGATATAAGCTTGTGACGTGCTGCGGAAAATTTTGATAAAATCAAAAAGAATAAAAATGCAAACATTTACTTACATTTTTTATAATTTCTACATTAGTTAGATCCGCACACGGCAGCAAAATGTCCTGTAGCACTTGTGAATCTATTTTTAATCATAGCTCAGTTTAAGGTATTTTTAGAAAGCAGCCGAAATAAATTTAGATCTGTCCCTCGGGCCAGAGGCCCTCGGGACGCAAACTTTGCCATCGGTAATTAAGGCCCTCCTAATTCCCTTGATACATAAATAACTATTATTGATTTTTATATCTATTTGTTTCAAATAATATACTTCTGATTACCTGTTCGGCCAACCATCATAATTGCGTTTTGTTGCTACTTAATCCTGATTCAGATTGCGTGAGTCCCGCTAAAAGTTACTCGCTAGTTCTGCTCGAAGTATTCCGATCGAGAAGAAAGAGATTGAATAACATATTAAGAGTGGTTGATTTCGATGAAATTATTGTGGGCAATTTCACCGGTCATATGCCAACATATATGCTTCATTAGGGCCACTTAAGAACGTTTGCTATTTATGAACTGAATAGCACTGGCCCGTGGCCAGGAGAGACTAAGTTTGCCTGGACTCCTATTGCGCCAAAAAATGTTTGGTGGGATGATATAATTTCCGATTCTTCTGATAGCACCTATTAATAGATTCAATTTCTATTTCACTTTTTCACATGCTTTTCCCAAGACAATTCATCATTTATTAAGAGTCTTAAATATTTTTTGTTTTCAACTTGTAAAATGTCACATTCTGATGTTATAATATAAAACTGTATTTGGTTTGGACTTTTGAGGCACATACATTTAGTTTTATCCCTTTAAGTATTAATTTATGTTCAGTGTCATGTAGATTTTTTCAGGCAAAGACTGAAAATATCAGAAAATTTTCATATGAATTTTGTTTGCCTGGACAACTTATACCGAATTGTCAAAACATTTTTCCCGACCGTATGCGATATTATGACTGAAGAATCCAAATATTTCAAGTTTTGTTAATGTTATCGGAGGTACCTATTTTTGCAAAAAAATATACTTTTGGGTTTCTATTACCTAAATAAAAAAAATTTTGGATATTCCCAACTTTCGGTATGACCAAGTGAAATTAATTTCTGCTTTTTATATGCAGGAAGTAACTTACGATGAATCTTCCAAATGGAAAACTTTGCACAGGTGCCTGATGGTTTAGTCACATAACAGACAGCAGTTACATGACACAACCTCAACATTGGGTTTAGAAGGAGAACAATAGAAGAGATGGGAAAAAGCCAGAAGATATACAATGACCTGAATTTGGTTTGGTGCTAGCACACTTACGGAGGTTGACAGGATTGGCGGCAAATGTCTATCCCAAGCAATTGTATCACAAGTGAAACAGAAAGAAGAGACTTACTGGTCTTACCCAAAAGTCAAAGATAAGCTGTACCAACTTCACGGAAGTAGAGTAGAAGACACTTCGGCATTAAAAAGGACTTTGACTCAGTCAAATTTCACAGTAATGTAGAGAAATGGAGTTAATGATGCGATCTTTGCACTTCAAGAATGGGTACAAGAAGTTGAGGGAAAATGTCAGATCTGTCGAGAACCTCTTTTGAGAGAATTGAAGTAGACATATGTGGATCTTCTCCTGTGACTGATCTATTTTTCCAAATAAATGGCCTGAGACTGTCCCTATTCCAGGCTGGTAAGGAAGCAGAGGAATTTGTGAACTACTTGGTTGCTAGACATGGAGTATCTTTAAATCTACACTCCAATCAAGGGAAAAATTTTGAATTGGATTATTGCAGAAATTGATGAATTTGGAATTAAGAAAACACACACGACTCCACTCTGCCTACAGTCAAACAGAATAGTAGAACGATAATAAAACAATCAGCCAGTTCGATTCAGAAAACCAGAAAGATTAGAACAAATCCGGTGTTGCCTTACAACTACAACCTCGAAAGGGTTTGAACGCACATCAAGTAACTCATTTGACAATCATGAAGTTAAATAACTTAGTGTATACGATTCCACTGTCAATTTCAAACAATTGCTGATTTTCTTGTAAGCCTAGCAACTGAAAATATTCAATTGGGATTAGGTATTATTAGTGAACTGTAAGTGTATATACTAGCATCAAAATATAGAAGAAACACCTTGTTAGGATGATACAAACTAGGAAATCATAACAATACTAACAATTGAAAATATTTTATTCAATTAAATAAGTATTTCACAATATACGTGACAATTCCATTTCAATTAAAATGTACTGTTAATAAATCAATTGATAGGAAATAATTATTACTACTGTCTTGGTCACAATAAAAAAGTCCATCAACCTAATAATAAATTAATTTTTGGTATGTTTGATTTATACTTTAAGAATTTACAATATATACAAGATAACATTCACGATAATTACATAATAGTTAATAACACAGCCAAAAATGCTGTCAACTATACAGAAAAATACAGAAATCCAACAGAGTATTTCTTGCTTAAATAAACGATCTGGAAAACAATAGCTCTCAAAAGCTGTAATTTTTCAGTGATCATTCAATAAAATAATAAATCATCTTTTGGCACTTAAAAACTAAAATTAATAATTATACCACCTATACTTTTCCGTCTAAATGAGAAATGTTACTGAGGTACAGTTTTTCAAGGAGAATTCCGTTCTCCTAATGTTTGTTTCTAAAAACAACGATTTCTGTATTCTTTTCTGACTTAACTATGGTCTAGTCTAACAATAAGTTAAGTTTTGATTAGTCTAGTTTCTTAAGCAAAGCAAAACTCTGTTTACGATGAGCATTTCTGAAACAATAAGATATTGGAAATATGTCATCCGTTCATATTCACAATCTACATACTCGTTCCCTAATAACTGGCTTCGTGCCCTGCTAAAATGTATAAGTCATGACCTTCTTCATTGGTCAGTGTTCCAGTTCGAAGTAAATTACTTTCTAGCATCACAACTCTGAAAAATAAAAGTTTATGAAAATTATCATCAAAATTAAATTGATAATTCCATCAAACTATATTTCTCACAAATCAATATATGTAAACTATTTTTTAAACATTTCAAGAACTACACGCAACAACAGAAAAGAAATGCAACAACAAAACTTGTTAATTACTACTAATTACCTATGTTGGTAATTGATAATTCTCAATGTCGATAAGTATCTTGAGTAGTTATCGACATTGAGAAATGATATGGTCGTTATGCTCAGTAAAAATAAAATACATTCGATTCAGAAAAACAGAGAAGAAAATTTTATTTGATCAATCCTATTTTAGTTTACAGGAATACAATCAACTCATTTTATCAATTTTTTGTACAGTTTTACACAGTGTTCTTAAACCAAGTAATGAGTTAATTTCAAGTATAATGCTTCTCTTTCAACACTCCGGCATTCGCGATGAATCTAAAAGATACACATGCTGATAATTTTTTTATCACTTTTTTTTTCAGCCAAACCAAAAAGTTCCTCCAACTTTACTTCTTGTTCATGTACAAGGTTTTCATTCACATTCTAGATTGTGAATGTAAGTATGACTAGTTTGTGATATATACAGGGTGTAACTAAATAAGTGTAAAACACTTAAGTAGGTGATTCCTCATCGAAAAACAGATAGGATCTATCATATAAAGAAATTTCATTGGAGCATCCCTTGTTAAGATACAGCCCCTTAAAGGGGGTACATAAAATTTGTATAACAATTTTTTTCACAAGCACTAAAAAAGTTACAATATACCATCAAGAACAGTTTTCTCTTAACGTGTGGCTCGGAGTTATTGGGGATGATTTAATTGGGCCTCATTTTCTACCTTCTCGATTAAATGGTGAGGCATACATTCAATTTTTAAGAGAAGTGCATCCAGTACTGCTAGAGGAAGTTCTTTTGGGCGTCAGAAGGGATATGTTTTTTATGCATGATGGGGTTCCCGAAGTCAAATAGCACGTCAGCATATAACTGAAACATATGCAAATCAGTGGATAGGTCGAGGAGGACCACAGAACTGGCCCGTTCGATCCCCGGATCTCAATCCTCCCGATTTCTCTATTTGGGGTCATTTACAGCATTTGGTTTATCGTACTCCTGTTCGCGATGTAGATGACTTAGAAACCGCATCATCGATGCGTGCAGGGTAATCAGAGAGACTCCTGGAATATTTGAGCGAATACGTGGCCCAATGCGCCGACGTCTAGATGCATGCGTATTGTCTGAAGGTAGGCATATTGAACATTTACTATGATTTCTACATGTTGTGTGTTTTGTTATTAATAAATTAGTTTTGTTTATTACCCTTCAGTCGTTTAATGCAGGCACTAACTATAAAATAACAATAAATCCAGTTCGTATTTATGAAGATGTACCCCCTTTAAGGGGCTGTATCTTAACAAGGGATGCTCCAATGAAGTTTTTTTATATGAAAGATCCTATCTTTTTTTCGATGAGGAATCATCTCCTTAAATGTTTTACACTTATTCAGTTACACCCTATATATATCTAAGAAAATAAATGTATACCTATGTATCTCCATATCAGTTATCTTAAATGAAACTCACTTATCCGATCCCAATAGTTTGTATGTTCTAGAGGTATCTGTAATCTCTTGAGTGATATCACCGTTTTTCAAAGACCGTCCTTGAACACCATGCTTATGAAATGCTAAAACGCTATCCGGAAGACACACTTAAACAAAAAACCATCAATTTTCTCTAACACATCTCTAAGGAGAACTACTTACGAATACTTTCAATCTTGAAATCAAATCTCAGCTCGGAAACTTGTTTTTTGTTCATTTTCATCTTTCCTTGGGGATTTACTATCCTAATAATATTATCGTAACATACTAAAATTGAGTCTTTATCAAGTTGAGTAACACATGCAATGTCAAGATTTTCTCTTCGGGGTATGACAGTCGCTGTGCCGTCCATGTCTTGCAGTTCATCTGAATGAAACCAGCTGGCACCTTGAAATGAAAAATCAAGTTATGGATTTCGTCAGTTGTGAATAATCCGATAAATGATTCTTAGACTTTCAACATGCCAATTTTCAGAAAATAAATAACCTGAGTTCATGTTGATCAAATCCAGCTTGAAACGATTTGGTTGATAAGCCTGTTTAATTGAAACACAAACCATAGGATATTCCAACTCTGGTGTTATTATCATTTCGAAAACATGCAATGGATTTGGAAGGACACACTCTACATGCTGAAACAGAAAATATATTTTGGTTTTATATGAAAAGAATAACAACTTTTTAAAAGTACAACAAATTATTTGAGTTCACTTTATATTTTGTTCAACTAAATTATCCTTATTTACACTATTTTTCGGGTTTGAAGGCCGAGTCATCGGAGAAAACTTAGGATGTATAAACGTCTGAAGAAGCTATCCAATCGCGCCAGTAAAATTTAAGGAAGAAATTCCAAAAATCGACTGCCTACAAACCCGAAAAATAGTGACGCTGACAGCTATTTGAATTCTACTCATTCTAATATCTTACCTTCAGAAGCATGAATTTATTGAGAGGATCATACCACTGCATCAAATAAATGCCGCTGTTCGTAGAACCACATAAATATTTATATCCGTTATAGGGATTACGAGCAACACAACACCTCAACGTGCCTCTGGTATCAGGTACCCTAGTAGTCAATGCAAATTTCCTTGGAACGAGTCTCTCTGGCATCCGATTCATGTGTAGACTAAACCTATGTGATTGCTTATTCTGTAGTGCTAAGAGATCGTGTCTATAAAGCTGCGGTGTTTTACCTGGGGAAAAATAGTGAGTTAGTTAAAAAAGACCTACAGAATTATATGCCACGAGAGGCACCAAACTATGTTCTAATGACATCTAATTTTGAAGTTTGGTTTTGTAGTTTTCGTGAAATTGACTTTGAACATATGGTATTACATGTAACAAAATAAAAAATTTGTGATATGTGATGGAATGTGTCAATACTTGATGAATATCTATGTTAAAGTATTTAAACATTACTTTGTTCAATTTTCACTCAACAGTTTACAAGCTTTTTCGGGCATGTTCAATACTAACTCCTAGTTAGACCCCTAGACAGGTTGAAAACTGAACATGATGTAGGGGTACACAAATTTTTGGTACATAACCAAATTGGGAAGTGGTTCTATACATAAAGAGAATTGGGAATATATACCCAAGAATACAAATGGGTAAACCTTCATGAAGGGACCGTCTGAGAAAAAAGCCACTATTGAATTCACTAATTGAACCCTAACAATACTCTGTTGAAGAATAATAAATTATTTTCTTATTAGTCAGTGGGTTATGCTTGAAGACAGGCAGTAAACAAATCTAAAGAAATGAACTTTAAATGTTCAAGCCAGTCTTGGATATACCTACACAGAAGGTTGAATGGACTGACACCTATAAGAAAACAACTACTCCCCTGGCCAATCCAACGCCCTTCGTTATATTAGCCAGGGGAATATTTGTTTTCTGATAGGTGTCAGTCCATTCAACCTACTGTGTAGGTATATCCGAGACTGGCTTGAAGATTTAAAGTTCATTTCTTTAGATTTGTTTACTGCCTGTCTTCAAGCATAGCCCACTGACTAATAAGAAATTTTTCTTCCTTATTCAGAGGAATCGGGCAAATTTCGGATATGCAGTTGGTTAGTACCTTGCCACTAGATGGAGTGACATTTTGTTGTTCGCTCCAACTTAGGACGAGGAATGAAATACTCTGAAAGAATTTCGATTTTCAATTATGGAATATCATTGATCATTGACTTTAGGTCGATGATGGCCACTATCTTGCATTGATGAGTGGCTAATGAGCCCAAAACCGGTCTGCAAGTGTTCCCGTTACAAAATTGAAGGTCGAATATTTCAGTTGTATTGCCAATGGCATATGCAGGAAATTTTCTGTGAAGATTCCTGCACTGACGCCTGTCGGATATAATCCAACACCCTTCGTGGTATTAGCCAGGGGAGTAGTTGTTTTCTGATAGGCGTCAGTCCATTTAAAGTTCATTTCTTTAGATAATAAATTATTGTGAAGCCACACTAGTTGAGGACGTAAGTTTATAGTGTGTAATGTAGTGTAGTGAATTTTTCTATCCAGAAAAAAATTGTTTCAAAGAAGATTATATAGAATATTACAATTATACAAAATACTGTTATTAAGACAAATGTCTTAATAACAGTATTTGGAGTTACCAGGGGATAGTGCCACTTAAACGGCAAATCGACCTGGAAAAATGGTCAGATATCTGTCTGATCTGAACTGTTAGAAAAGCTCTTGAAAAAAAACTGAATAATGCAATTAAAAAAAATGGATATGCACATTTGATATCATAATTGACTACAACAGAAACTCTGTTTTAGAGAAAAAAGTCGCTTGTTTTCGTAAAAAAAAAACCAACAACTTTGAACAAAAAGTAACAGATCAGGTAACAACATAATTTAGAAAGGGAAATGACAAAATTTTTACCTGATAAAGTCATAAGAACATCTTTGATAACATACATCCACACTGTACGTCTATTATATAGCTGGTCAATACAAGTTTCATGAAGTTCGTTCAGATTGAGGTTGTAAATACCCTCTTCCGCTCCAATGAGAATGTGTTGATCACGAGTATCTGGATTAATCCAAGAAGCAGTACAGTGAATTCTCAGTGGACAACCATTGAATACCTTTAACAAAAATGATTTGAAGAAATTGACAGGGACAGATTCAAAAACTCACTTTGGAAAAGCAAGCACCCATGTGAACTTTAGGAGTAGGAGGTAAGCCATTACTGGGAGGTCGTGGGGGTGTATGTCGTCTACGATGTTTTCGAGGGGGTACAGGTGGACACGTCACCCTATTGGAAGTGCCATCTTCATGATTGTTGGTTGTATCATCTGCTCCTGAAATAAACAAAGCATGTTATCATATCATACTTTAAAAATCAATACACGAAAAAAGTAACGTTCAGAGTAAACCAGAATTTGGTAGCAGTCCAGAATGCAACAAAAAGGGGAGGGGTATATATTCAGACTTTTTTCTTTTATGAGCCTGAACCCATCGTCTGATTTCGTGGAGTAGTTACAAACCAATAATAATTAACTAAAGAAAACTAAATAAGACAATACAAAATAACTGCTTGAATATTTAAATTTGGAGAAACATGCAACTCTAGTGAAGATGTCACTTTCTAATATATGTATATTTTAATTTTTTTGAAGAGCACTAATTAAGATCTGGTCATGTATATTAGTGAGTAAATTATTAAGGTATTGAAATAATGAAATTCCTAGTTTTTTTGGGAATTCTTCTATTCTCATAGATTATTAAAAAAATTATTGATTATCAGAGATTATGAAGCAGGTCATTCTAAGACTTTAACACACAAACCTTGATTTAGAAATGAAAAAACTGACCACTCGCTGTCTAACAGAGGTTTTAACTGGACGTACAAGGAGTAAAAAATGTAAAGCAGTGATTATGTTTCTGAAATCACCAAAAATGTTCAAACAGATGCTTTTATCCAAGATACAGAATATTCAAAATGGTCTGAAGACTCGATGGATCTAAAGGATAGATTAAAACTAACGACTATCAACAATCTCAATAAACGACCACCTGATGTACTTTACAGAAAGAGACCACAAACATCAAAATTTATGTGAAGTTTACTTCAAATTATGGCTACCTTATCAGTAGGGCAGCCATAACTTATTTGATTGAATATCAAAAACATCATCAGTGTCATCAAAAATAGAATGCACAAGAATGTTCAAAAAGGTTTCCTTTTTCAATTCACAAAATAATTTCAACTTACCATTGACTTCTCTATTTTCCCTATTACTCCTACCAGTCCGGCTACTATCACTAAGAGACCTCTGTCTTTGACCATTGAGATTCATCGAATTTACTAGTCCGAATATCTCATCTACCGAGGAATGTCTTCGAGGAGAACCATTGAAAGGGGACTGTTCGTTAGTGGGGCTTGAAGGGATGGTGTGAATATCACATTTTACCGTATTTTCCGGATCCTGAACAGGCAGAGTAGCTCTAGAAAAAAATAATTATAAATGGTGAATGTAAAGTTTCCAAGTGTTTGTGTTAATTATGTATCAGATGGATTATAAAGTTGTGGTTAAACAAAACTAAGAAGCTGCAAACTCATGCTCAATTTCATTTGGTCAATTTGTGCAACACTCCAGATCATTTTTATGTTGATGGAAAAATTCACACAAATCACATCTTTCAACTCCTCATAATCTCTCCGAGTCTCCTTTCTATTACAAGTTAGGTTTTATACACACTCTCATAAATAAAAGAAAAATGAAAGTAGTCGGTGAGAAAAGCCGATCATAAAACTTTGAGAACTTACATTGCAATAGATATACAAGCTATTGAAAATTCCAAAAAAGTAGGCATGTTCCTTTATATTACTCTAGAACTGAAAAAAATTAAAGAGTGGGAACTTTATCTCTATTATTAATACCATTTTCAATAGTAAAAATAGGGCTGAGCATAATGAGCATGTGTTAAGAATCGAAACTATCTTGAAACCGGACGGTTAAATGAGGACCCTTTTTTTTTTAGTTTTCATTTACATTTAAGTTGAATAATTGCTAATCAAATAGTAATAGCGTTATTATATTTTGAAGAAACCTTTGACACACTTGACAAATTTTTCAAGGTTTTTGACGTGCGTTTCGCTAATCAAGTTAACATCATCAGTAGATGACTAAGATTGAATCGTATGGCTATGTATCTAGACAAATCAATAATACACTAAGTTAATTCCTAGTATTTTGATTTTCCTCCTAGTGGTAGTTGCAAACTGATTGAAACCTAATCTCTACCTATTTTATACTTATAATGATTTCTATCTATGCTTATTTTATATATAAATTACAACAATCAAACATAATACTAGTTGATATTTTCATCAAGAATAATTTTTGCAATTTTCCATGAGGCGAAATTATTTTAGAAATTTTTATTTAACAATTACTGTATTTTCTATATCGAATGAAAATGATTAATTAATTATTAATGATAAGAGCTGCAGTTTCCTGAGTCGATATTATTTTCGGAAATTTCCACAAGTTTCAAACTTGTGAAACAGTACAATAAACATTATCTAACGAAGTACAGACATACTAGAAACTACTACCTTATGGAATTTACAATAATCAGTCATATTCTGAATTATTCAAACAAAAGAAATGAAAAAGTCAATGACTGTATTACTTACTTTGTAGTACACTTTGAAAATTATTCAACTTGACCTTCTCTTCCTGTCAAGATATTTCACTTATTTGAAAAGTGATTTTCAAGAAGATTGGCAAATTTTTCTTCTCTAGTATATAACCTTTGCTCCCGATGAAGCTCATTCAACTTAATGACTTATAAATGAGGAATATATGAAAACAAACTTTTCTATCTTTGAACTAATTGTCAGATAAATAGTAGGTCGTTTTAGTAATAATGATATCAATTCATAATTATTTTGATAACAATCAGAATTGAAATGTTTTATTAAATAAAGGTTAATAACCCAAACACTAGTGAATCATCAGAATTAGAAAACTACTTTGCTGTTCAGTAATAATTAAATTTATTAATAAATATACCTTACTAGTTTCAAAATTTATTAACGTTTCGAGAAAATACATATTCACGAAAATGGTTAAAATAAACTGAGCAGATATAATACTCACAGAAAAATAAATATAAAATAAAAAGGTTCACAAAACTATTGTAAAGATTTTGTGGAGGCGAACAAAAACTCAAACATTTCTGTCACAATTCAGGCTATGGAGATTGGAATGATCGTTCCTCATTAGCAACATTAAATAATAAACAAATCCGATTTGAAAGGCCGTCTAATAGACCAGTCACAGCTCTCCGCAATATTTCTTAGAATTGTTTACTAAAATTTTAAAACTAATTAGAACATTTCATGCGATATAACCAAAGCCTATCGTGGGTTTTTATAGATCATTTTCTATTCTCTAAATGAGCAGTATTATTATGTCAATCTAGTATCAATATCTAAACCGATGAAAAGTTACTTGATGAGTTATTTTTTTTTTGTAAAATGGAAAAAATATCAATTTTACATTTCAATAATGACAAATTGTTACATTTACTTCCGTGTGTGGTCTTCAGGCTCTATTGAAATGTTGACTGGTCTATAAGATAAAATACTGATCAAATTCCTTGCCTTCTTCTGTCACTTAAAAATTTGACCTCATAAATTATAGTATTTATTATTATTACAGCAGGGAGAAACAGATGATTCAATTTCTGGTTTCAGTCACAAGCAATAACAACAGAGAATAATTGATGTGAAACCATAATAATCACTGGAAATTTCAATTTATTGATTCAATTAAGAGTAATTGAATCACACCTAATAATAAAAAGACATATTTTAAATTTATTCACTGTCAATGCAAAAAAGCAGTGTTTACCGTTTTGTTATCTAACTTATTAATTTTTTCTCTGAATGCTCTTAACTGTTTTGATGCAGATGCGTACTCAGATTCAGTGGAAGTGCATCGTCGTTGCATCCATTTTATTGAGTTCAGTTGTGTTGTTCAAATTGCATATTTTTAAATGCCATACCTTTTAGTTGGAATATTGTTTTATTTCAATACTTTGGAAGTATATTACATAACAGTGTGTTTGCTCCACGGGCACATACCGAAACTTCAATTGTATTGTTTAAATACTTCTTTGGTATATTGAATACTATATCCAGGACACTAAAACATGTTTAACACAGATACAGTCTTCACTCTACATTATTGATTTCTTAAAGTGGAACTGTGTCATAGAAACTTTGAAAGTGTTCAAAGACAATGTACCGCATTTAGTGGTATTTACAACTTTTATAAACATGCTAAAGAACATTCTTTGAATGACACTTTTTGTGGAGGACTCAATACTATGGGCATATACCCAAAAAACAGTAAAGAATTTCCTGACAAACATCTTGATTTTTATTTTTAATTTAATACCATCAGATTAATTATATACATAGTTTTGCGTCACCTTGTATAATATTTTTTTTCAATTATTATTAAGGTATTTGCAAATTCATATTTCTAAAATTCTCAATTTAAATACATTGAAACTACATTGAAATAATATTTTGTCTTCGTTGTGGACCTGGGAAAAAAATTGCATTAGCGTGCTTTTGTGTACATTTACTAAATGTCGGATTGGATATGGTTTAGGTGTCAGTAAAGAAGTTTATGAATGGTTCGTTTTTACAAACCCGCCTGATATGATGATATATAATTCAATCGATTACAACCATTGGGTCCAGATCAAAGTTGACGTAGTCATAAGTAGTTGGTAAAACTTTTTTTGTATGAAAACCATAATATGCTATTGGCATCCTTAGAGAATATTGTTTCACTGAGAGGTTACTTAAGATCGATTAAAGTTTGTTGTTTATCGGCTATTCCAAAATAAACCTACATGAGCAGATGAAGACAAAGGTCAGATGAGTAGAGGTCCCCGAAAAGTCCTAATACACTGCGATAGCTAATATACATGTAACTACAGTAGAAATGAGTCATTATTCCTATTCAAGACCTGGGGTCTATATTTATTTTTTCATCAATTTCTATTTCGCCTCCTACAAAGTAGTCCCCCTCAGATATAATACACATGTGCCAGCTTTTTTTACAATCCACGAGACAGTTCTGATATGCACTTTTTGGTATGGTCTTGAGCCCTCTCAGCGATTCAGTTTTTATCTCCTCAATCGTCGCAAAACGCCGTCCTTTCATGGGTATCTTCTATCTTGGGAACAGAACTTGTTATTCCACAATATGGACGTTTTCTTCGTATTTCTTATTGACCGTACGACCATGTAGCAAGAACTCCCGATACACTACGCCACAGTAATTGAAGAAAACAGCATAACCTCAACATTTGATCGGACTTGGCATGATTTTTTTGGTCTTGGCTCTTCTGGGCTGTTCCTTTGGGACGACTGGACTTTGGTTTCGATGTCATAACCATACGCCCATGATTCGCAATTTCGAAAAGAACTTCGCTGCCACACGCTTCATGCCCAAAATTTTCGAAAACATTGCATGGCATGAGCCAACCGATATTCCAACATCACCAGCAACTCCTCTAATAGTGATTCGATGATTCGCCATAACAATTTTCATCACTTTCTCAACATTTTCATAGTTTATTAATTTGCTGGAGCATCCAGCGTCGTCATTCACAACTCCTCAGCCTTCTTTGAAAAGCTTGTATCACATTTTTCTGGCTCAGAGTACAATCACCGTATGCCACTGTCAACTTCTCAAGTGTTCTTGAGCAATTAATTCCATTATTTACACAAAATTTAATGCAAATTCTATGATCCACCAACCCACTAAACATGCTAAGCATCTGAACCTGTGAACATGTTTTATACGAGTGTACCAACATGAAAAAAATACGCTAATTCATTGTACGTAGCCCGCGAAATTTGAACATTTGCCTTATTTTTTTGAACACATCTCGAATGTCCATTCTTAAATAAAATTTTATCTATAGATGGCAGATTTTGAAATAGTTGATGAAAATGGAGGAAGTTTGCTACTTCAAATTTAAAATTTTCTGGCATTACGACTATCTTTCTCAGATATTACAAAAACCCATTAATTCAGTGGTAGTAGTTTCAGAAACTTATCATTTTATGCATTCCATAAAATAATCAGCTTCCTTAACAGTGGATGCTTGAATAGACTCATTTATTTTGGAACTGATAAACCTGATTTATTAAAAAAATTACGGTCTTTGTGGTGGTTTTCTAAAAGTATTTTGATGATAATAAAAGAATTTTCACATCTGACAAAATTATAAAATTCATTCATTTCATCCAATTAGACCAAAATACTTGGGTAAGTGTTGGCTAAATTAGCACAGTAAAGATAAAGCCTTCTACTATGCTATTAAACTGTTCGTTAACTACCATGCTGGTCGATGAAACTGTCACAAGATTTTTTGGATCCATTCTTAGTCAAAGGTTTCAGTTAAATCTATCTTTGGTTGGCTATTGAATGCATATAAACATCTCTGAATTTATATAATCACACTTTTTGGCTTAAAAACAGAATAACATTTATTTAACCTTCAAGCTATCCTTCAAAATATTTATTAGATTACTCAATTCCAAGAATTGTAAGGACTGTTACTGGATATAAACCTAGCTGTCTATACTCGACTTCGCATTAAATACGTTTGTATATATGTGAGTAAATGTTAGAATGATGAAAGGCGAGCATAATACAAATGATCAAGGCTGGGTCTCCCGATTCATGAAAACTTGTCATATTGATTAATATTTTCCGAAGTGAAAACCTCTCAAGCAACTGAAAGTATCTAACATTACATAGAGGTTCTTTCAACTGGATGGAACAATTTTCAAATATTAATAATAATCATATGTAGATTTTTCCTTTGTATGATACAAAAAATTCAAGTACGTTTTCAAATACATGTCTCAATTGTCTTAAAATTCATTTTACAATTTTGCCTTATCTAGTAGTCAGGTCATGATATATGTATGATTCATTGTTCTGAGATTGCATTGTTTCATAACTTTTGAATCCAACTTTTTTTAAACTTGTATGAGAAATTTCATTACCGTCTTTTAGAAATTATTCTCGCATTATTTCAACAGTATTTTCCTGACAAAATATAATCACCTTCAAGACATTGGAAAATATTTAATTTCACACTTTTTTTGTAGGATAATCTATTTAAAACATTTAAGAATGGTGTATGCTATGAAACGTTCTTAATTTTCATGAGAATCCATTTCAATTTGATACCCTTAGTTTGCTATATACTCTCAACATGCAAACATTCACAAATCACGGGAACACATAATCAATCATCACTTTCAACAACTTTCACATTCATTATTCAATACTGATCTTCTACTCTTCTACATACAACATGAAACTTACTGTTGTTCGTATTCCGTCTGGTGATATTTGTAGCCTCCCCTAGAATAATCAAACAACATTTGAGCCACTTGTGAAAAAAATAAGCAACCTTTTTACCCTAAATGACCGTTTCCCATTTTGAATGTCAAAACAAAAGCCGTGTGAAAGCGTTAATAAAATGTGCAGCAAACAAAAAAAATGAAGCAGGATGAGTGGGGAGGTTAGTTAGCTGATGGAAAATTTTTGAAATTACCTCATCATTAATTCTTCGTCAATGTACTGCAATAGACTCCTAAATAACATACAACGAATTAAAAAAAGGTTGTCCCAGATAATGGTTACAAAATTGAAAAAAAAAAAACAAACTGTTGTGTTAAGATATTAGCTTTTGATTCCCAAATGTTATTTTCATCTATATTATCATTGTTAGATTTTTAATCAAAACCAAACAGAGCATTAAACTGCTCAATTTATTCTAATGACATAGAAGATAACTTTTCTTTCAGTTTACCGTTTTGACTATAGGTAGATAGATTCTAGAATGTATGATATAAAACCTTAAAAGTTGTTCCTGAAATAAAGTAAAGCGTAAAAACCTAATCCATACAGCCAATTTTTGGCACTGCTTAAAAGCAATAAATAAAAATAACAGAAAGGAGTTTCTACTGATACTGTAACCATTTAAGGCATAAAAAAAAATATTGCAAATACCAATAGGACACATGCAGATATTTTGTATGGTCAAAAATAACCCTTGTTTATCGATAGCCCGTTGGTTAGCGTGAGAGGATTGTTCAACTCATTCATTTGACTGTTATATGAACGTTGGTTCGATCCCAACTGTGAGTTGATTGATGTTCACTACGTTCGCCCTTCCCGTGCTAGGAATCGGATGTTAAAACGTAAGACCTCGTTAGTCTTTAGCTCGCAGACTTAAATACACTTTTGAATACACTCAAATTTGGAGTCAAAATTCGAGGTGGTTACGTGGCATGAAAATTTCTGTGAGTCAATTTTAGATTTGGAATTGTTTGATGGCATAATGTGAAAATATCCAGTGTCTACACCAAAAATAGATGTGATAGAAGGTGAACGTTTCATTGTAATGATGAATAAAAGAATTTTATTGGGATTTGAGCGAAAATTATGAAACATGCAATGTTTATTAAACCAGAAGAAATCCACCTCTCAAAAAGAAAAAGATATTGATACAGTGACACCATTAACGATTTTTAAAATATCATGATAGTAGTGAAGGTTTCCAGAAGCGAGGAATATTTTCCAAACAGTTCAATTAGTTCTACAATTTATTCAACTGTTGAGATATAAAAAATTAACATGATAGATACTCGATTAGCAAGTAATATTTTCAAATTTCAACTTAAAAATCAGCAACAAACACGTAGGGTTATATGAAGTTGGAATATATGGATGGATATGAAATAATTTTTGTTAACTGATAAATGGTAAATTGATAAATGTCATTTTCTGATTTTCATAATAGTGCGTACCAAATAGTTGACCACTGACAATGCATAAAAATATTAGAAAATATGCATCTGAATACCGTCTAATTACAGAAAAACTATGAAGAAAAATCATTCTATGCAGAATTATGCAAATAAGTTTTTTTATATCAACATAAATGACAGAATACATAAATACAGTTGTGATAGCTAAATACTACGTGTCATTTTATGATTTGATACAATACTCACTTTTCTCTATTCAGTGAGTCGAATGCTGCCCCTATACCACATTTTTGATTTTGATGCTCCACACAATTATGTACACTCGTCACGTTATTCATGATGTCCATCAAATCCCATGGTTGTGTTGTATCCTCAACAGTAACGCCTGGGAGTTCTAGGATCGAAAGGGAACAGTGAAATATTGAGTTTTTGAAATGTTTTAAAGAAAGTACCTGTCCTTTGTAATGTATTATTAGCTTCATCTATACGATCAATGTCTACATTTGAGAGAACAGCATTCTGCGGCTTTGGTCTAGAAGTCAGTCGAGATGGAATTCTTTGGGGTACATTTGGCACAGCCTAAAAACAAATATTCGATTATAAAAACAACAACTGAAGGTATCACATAAATCTACTGGAGCACTGATTTTTTTTAACAAATCCAAATAACTACCAACTCTTCTCAAAGATAAATTGATGGATGTAGCTGTTACTGTGTGGTAGGAAATCAGAATGAAAGAGAAATTAAACTTTCTATGTTTTTTACCACATTAATTTGTAACTGACGTTACTACAGTTTCGTCCTATACGGACGTTTTCACACTTATACTTTATTGTATTAATTTGAAAATGTCCATATAGGAGGAAACTGCAGTAACGTTAATTACAAATGAAAGTGGTAAAAAACATAGAAAGTTTAATTTCACTTTTCTTCATTACTTCTCAAAGATATTGAAGGAAGTTAACTAATAATGATATTACTCACCCCATCTTCATCTGGTTCATCAGTAAACATGTGGGAAGGATTATTAACTTTTTGTAGCAATTCTAAGGCCAGTCTTCTGTGCATATCTCCTTGGAAAAAAGCATGCTAAAAAAATATGTAGATAATTTGTTTTTATAATCAAGATAAATTGATGAGGCACCTGCAATAGCTTTTCTGCAGTAGGTCGTTTCTTTGGATTTTTTGTTAAAGCCACTTTCACAAAATGGTGAAAAGTTGGGCTCCTGAAAAATAATAATGACACCTTATTAGATTACTTATTGATTATTCATCATTACTTTATCATAAACATTGGATGTATACTCTGTTTTCATATGTCTGCCACTGTGTATTTTTTAATTTATTATTAGTCAATCTATATCAGGTTAATGAACAGCAAAATTAATTGTTAACCACGTTCACCATTCCTTCAAACTTACTCTAATTCAAAATCAATACTTCAATATTAATACAGTTTCGCTTTCTTGATAGAAAGAAAGACTTTCAGACAAATAATGAATGAAATTTCGGAAGAGTTACAACAATTCAACCTGAATATTCAAAAAATGATGCATCAAGCGTCATCAGAGTTATAATTCAGAAGTCAGCAACATGGACACATTCAAAAATAAATTCTTATTTTGCATATGTACTTTAGCAACAATTTTGACCTCTGGGTTAGGCAATTCTACTATAAGAGCTTGTATCCAACAAAAATACTTTTTCCACACGCCAGAACTTTTCATTGTTCGACAGAAGTTCTAATTTTACCTTTCAGAGAGAGCTTGTGTTTAAAAGTAAAGCAAAACATATCTTTGTTGCAATGTCTTTTGTCCTTATTTATACCATAGATACCTCTGCTAGGTACCTGTCTGTTTAAAATCTGTTGCGTCTCAATTGTCTTAAAATTCATTTTACAATTTTGCCGTATCTAGTAGTCAGGTAAATATGATGACTAAAAATATTATTTCAACAAGCTATATAGTAAACTATAAGGTATTGGTCCACCATTGCAAAAGAATAGCACCTAAAGGCTGACTTTCGACCAAAAGAGGTCAGATGTCAATCTTGCTGAAGTGCCCATCAGTAAGTTGAGGACCACTCGGAGAGCGGTGGTGGATGGAGTGGGGTATCAGGTTTTCCTCGCAAACTAGCTGGGGGGAAAGCTTTTACTGTTTACTTAGAAATAGGCATAGGCATATAGATGCCTGTTGTTAACCTGTCTAACTAATCTCAATGAACTGAAGTCTATGGAATGGTATCATGAAGTGCACAAGTCATTCTTGGCATTCATGACATATTACTTCCCAGAAAATGAAAATTAAAATAAATTTTACCAGAAATGTTACTGCATTTGAATAAAATTCAGATAGAATTATACAACTTGTCAGTAGCACTTTTTATTATTAATTTCGTCTATATACTTTGAAAATAGAAAAATATCTGAATTTCAAGTTCACGTTGGATGATGTTCAAAATCGCAGACAAATATTTAAATGTCAAAATCGTTATCTTTACGAATTGAGTGACAGTTTTTGCTCATACAGTACACTGGAAGTTGAATTTCACTTGACATGAAATTTTCCTAGTTCAGCTTCCATTCTCAGGAAAGGTAGCCATGTAAATATTTCAGTTTTCATTAACTTTCATTGAGTAATGGCATTATTTGAATTGGGACAACAGCAAAGTTTTCTTTTTATACTAGAAGAGAAGTATTTTGAGAGTTTTTTCAGAATAGATTCTTTCCTAACTTTTGAATTCAGAAAAATGTATTCACTTCAAAACGTGAACTGCCCAGTAATACCTAATCTATGTGAAATTTTGTTATCCATCATTATCAAGCTTCGCTTCATCTTCAAATACCAATGAAATCATTATTTTCATTCATGGAAATGAATCCTGAAAAATGTTCATTTATCATTATCTTTATTATTATCAATCCTTCTATGGTTAAATTGAATCAGATGATGCAGGTGCCATCAATTCAACCCAGATAACAATAAAACACAATTAGACATTTCATATCAAATCAGGATAAATATATTCTTATCTAAGATTTCTATAAAACCACTTGACAGGTACTCGTTAATTGGTGAATTTCGTAATATTCAAGTGGATGCCAAAAGTACACTTTCAAACAAGTTGAAATAGATTATAAAAACCACACTTTTTTTATCGATTATAAAAACTCATGAAGTTATAAAAGGCAAAACCAAACTAAGTTACTTACCACCTCTCTTTGTCTTTCAACGTTGGAGGTTTGAATCCACTCTTGGACATGAGGAACAATGCTCTCATAGGATGCAAGTCGAACATTGGTGGCTGAAGTTCAGCAAGTTCTATGGCAGTAATTCCAGTAGCCCATATATCACACAACTGGTTATATCCACCTTTACGTTCAACTGCAGCAACCTGAGAAATAAAAAAAAGTTGAGAAATACAAAAACATAAAATTTTAGTTTATACCTCAGGTGCCATCCAATATGGAGTCCCAATAAAAGATTTTCGTTTATTGATTGTTGCCGTTATTTGAGCAGACACTCCAAAATCTGCAAGCTTTACATCACCACATTCTGTTAACAGAATATTGGCTCCTTTAATGTCCCTATGCATTTTACCCATGTTGTGAAGATATTGCAATCCATGCAATGTCTCTCGGCACATGTATGCTATTTGATTTTCTCCTAGAGGACCCGTAACTGCAAAAAATGGTAAATATTTGTTTCAAGGTTTCACACCAGTTCTTAGTGTCACGTATCTTCATCTGCTAATCATAAATCAGAAGTAAATTAAAATGAACTATTTCAGGAATTAAAACGTTTGGTAACGAAAAATAAATGAAGTCGCAAGTGAATATAATCCAATTTTTCAACTTTTGAGTGGTGATATCTCAGTAGGTAGGAGCGGCAAATTGTGAACTTAAGGTTTGTGATCAGAAGGCAAAAATACGTAAATATGACAAAACCTAGTGTGAAACGTTGAAACGAACCTTTTTTTTTTCAAATGATTGGCCGGTTTGAAAACATTTTAAACAAAAATACAAACTCACTGTGATATATATCCTGAAGTGAACCTCCTCCACAGTATTCCATACAAATCCATAACTTATCTCTTCTTAAATAACTACCGTAATAAGCTATTATATTAGGGTGTCTACAGTCTCTCATCATGAGAATTTCTTGCTGGATAATGGCAAAGTCATCTCCTAAAGAACAAAATAACTTCCAAAACCATATGTTTAGTTTAAATTTATAACTCACCAGGTTCTAGCTTGATGACTTTTATTGCAGCTAAATCATTTGTTGAAAGTCTTTTCGCCTAAAAAAAGAACTTTTATAAAAGAGTTCATTCAAATAAATAATTTGGATTACCTTATACACATCTCCATAAGTTCCACTCCCTATCCTCTGAATTAATTCATAATCATCCTGTGGATTTCTTCTGGAAATATCCGAGCTCAATACCCCTTGAGCCATTTTATTCAATTTGTTTGCTCACATTGTTCGTATTCTAGTTTTAAAATAAAATAAAATGTTTACGTGAATTTGACTTTGACAGCAAATGCTCTGATGGCAGACATATTTCAAACATTGCTACCAATTCCATTCATGAACAAAAAAAATAAAAAAAACCCTATGTTGATTCTTTCAAGTGATTGAACAGGTGTACATTATTGGACATTTGCAAATAAACTAAACTAGAATGAAATTGATTAACCGTCTTGTTAAATCATGAACGTAATAATTATATTTCAATTGCTCGTAATGAAAATAATAGTGCGGTTAGCGAACAAGAAATGTTGTTATTTTTAACCATAGCCGGCGACAAGGTTTGGATTGAAGGAGTAAATACAGAGCATAAATATACAGGATGTTCATTAAACATGCGGCAAAAAAAATTAGGGACTATTCCTTGGACTATTCTAAGGATATGATGATAATTATTATTTCAACAGTATTNAAGAGATGTTATTTATACATTTTAACATACTTGCCTCCAAGTTCATGAATTCAAGCTTTACTTGTGGTTAAATCACCCTTGCAAAATATATATCTATTTTATCTTTTGATAAACTCACTCTAAAATAATATACTACGATTTGGATTAAATGTTCCTTCTGTTACTTAGTTAATGGTTAATCCAAACAAATCATTGTTACAAACTCGATGGTTGATAGTGAAAACCAGGAAGTAAGTGTTACCCAGGGACTGGTATTTTCAAAAATCAACCAGTACCTGATGTAATACTCAAGCCCTGGACTTTCAGATGCTAGTCATGCTCCATGCCTCTGGGATTGTTGATTGAAACACGTGTCAAGGTGTTAAAAATAACGGTTTGGTGTTGGAATAGAACTTCAATAAAATTAATAATTGTGATTTTGTTCAGTGAACTACGATTATTATTATTATTATTGGATGGTCACTTTCAGACTAGTTTCAAAGTATTGGTGGCTACTTTTCAGAGCAAAGTAGATCATACCAAGACAAAAGTGTTGTGATACCCTGCTTAAGCCGAGCACATCTGCTGCTGAACCTTTATTCGAGAATATATAAGCAATTGATCCATCTCCTTCTAAGCCAAGAGTCAAGCAAGACACCAAGAACGGGCTTTTGTCACATGCTCGATAATTTGTTTGATGCGATATGATTTATATGCTATGGTGATATTAGCCAGAGAAGCAGTCGTTTTTTGTTAAACTTTCAAACTGTATTCGATGGTTGCGAGAGATTAACATTTCGAATTTTTTTGATATCTGAACAATTTCAGAAATTTTAATAGTTTTCTTTGAAATTTTATACTGATTTAACGTTTCGAAAAGCTACTCCTTCTGATTTCAAAATATTTAACCATATCCCTTTTGATGCTTGCCTAATGATTAGATCTCTAGTGGATATACTATTTTATCAAGAAACTTCAATTCAATTTCAATTAAAGTAATCAGGTGTTGAAAACGGAAAGGACAGCGGCCTGAAACATCACTTTTTCAATGAGCATATCAAAATCAATTGCAATTATTTTCTTTAATTTTTTTTTAGAGGTTTTAATAAAAGACAATGATATGAAAAAAACAAGTTGTTCTTGTAAATAAATGCTTTAATATTCGGAATATACAATCTTAGATATTATTTACAAAATAAGAAATTTTAAGAATATTAACACCAGTTTTAATAAATAGTAAAAATAAAATTTACATCTTTAAAATACATTTTTTTCAGTATCAACTACTATCCTTCAAAACATCTTTTAAAATAGAGCTGGAATTTCGATTTTGAGCAAAATCTGCAAAAGTTGGTAAAACTATTTCACTTAAAACTATAGGTGTTTGTCGAGGCGTCGTCGATTTGCTACTAGTTGGTTTTGTTGCTTCAGAAACATTAGAGGTAAGCAAGCTTGGAACAACCCTAGGTTTGGACTCATTCTCCAAGAATTTCACAAATGCCTGTGAAAGTGACTCTTCTAATTTTTTATTAGGATTTCCATGTTGGGGACCCAGAAGAGAGCTCAACCAAGAACCGTGCTGTGGTTTGTTCAAGTTGACTTTGTCATGGTCTTGTTGGTTGAAATCCAAAACTGTGGCTATGATTTTCAAAATTTGAAGCTGATCTTTGTTCAAATTATTATTCGAAGTCACAAATCCAATAATTAAGTTCTTCACAAGCGATTTGTCTACCTTTCCATCAGTCTGGCTGGTTGCCTCCTTTAAATCATCCTCAGATTTCGCCAACTTGCTTTGAAGCTGATATACTGCAAAATATGTGTAAATAAATAACCGTCTCCAGATGAGTGATGTAAAAATGGACATGGTTAACCGAGTCAAAGGTAGTATTTTCATTAATAAAATCTAATATTTTTAAATTTTGGTTGATCCACTTTTCTTTTACCTTCAATTCTCAATAACTAGTTGTTACTTCTGGAGAGTCATTCAATAATACCTTTGACATTACCTTTCCAGAGTAAAATAAAATATCAACACATGCACTTTCTAAATGTAATCATAGCATAACATAGCAAGGCTTTTCCACTAATAGAGCAGTAATATATTTTTTTTAGATACTACGTTTCTGGGTTCCTTGAAAAATATCACATTTTTCTGTTACCCAATCTTTTACTTGTGAAAAAGACTGACACAAATTTTGACACTTTCATTTCCAAAACATGCAATACAATAAATTATCAAACAAGCTAAACTATTGTGGACTATCGATACTCCAGTAATGTTTTTTTTGTAAGTGAAAAGTTTGGAATTTTCTAGAATACCGTCAATAACGTTTGTAATCATGTGGCACAAAGTTTGTATCGACTTCTTTGTGATTATGTATTATTTGTTCTTGGAATCCAGGTTCGTAACATTACATACACATATCAAGTTATACAGAAATGATAAATAAAAAAATTCATTTTATATCATAATCCATTCGATATTTTGGTTTTATTACCAATCAGTTTTACTCAATCTAATTGATGAATATAGCCAGATTTTCATTTCTGCCAGTATTACATTGTTTTATTCAATATTATTTGGTGAATAGTAATTACTGATAACACTGAAACATATTGCCAGGACATTATATTTGGATTTCAAAAAATTATTGATTAAAAGAGATGAGTAAAATATAACAGTGCTCAATAATATTTGGTATCAAATTCAAGAGATGTTATTTATACATTTTAACATACTTGCCTCCAAGTTCATGAATTCAAGCTTTACTTGTGATTAAATCACCCTTGCAAAATATATATCTATTTTATCTTTTGATAAACTCACTCTAAAATAATATACTACGATTTGGATTAAATGTTCCTTCTGTTACTTAGTTAATGGTTAATCCAAACAAATCATTGTTACAAACTCGATGGTTGATAGTGAAAGCCAGGAAGTAAGTGTTACCCAGGGACTGGTATTTTCAAAAACCAACCAGTACCTGATGTAATACTCAAGCCCTGGACTTTCAGATGCTAGTCATGCTCCATGCCTCTGGGATTCAAACAAATAACTGTAAAAAACGAAAATTAGCCTATTAAACTGTCAAATTGAGAATATAGAATAGAAAAATCACCTCAACATAGTACCATTATGATAACGTGCTTTTTCTATAAAATATTCTCTTTGAACAACAACACGAACAAAAACGAAACCAGGCAAGCAAATACAAAATTAAAAATGAACAAAAGAGTATCTACTATATAAGCTAATAACTCAACAACAGGAAAGGATGTGGGACGAGCAAAAATAAAAATGGTGACTGGAACTCTACATTTTGTATATCCCATTCAGTACCTGGGGAAAAAAACAACCTCACAGTTACCAAATGAGATTAAAAAAACATAGGCGAAGCGTGCAACGGTGCTAAACAAAAAAAAAATGTGCCAAAAGAGCGTGCTGAAAAAAATTTGAAAAGTATTTGACCCAAAACAAGTTGTGAATCGTTTGAAGTATTGAACTTGTATTAGTGAAAATACATTTCTGAAAGAAACTATACAGGCAGTTTTTTTTGTCTGATCCTACTATTGCTTTCTTGGAAACTGTAAGACTTACAAGGTCGGTTAATTTCGACAAAAGTTTACAATTTTGGGGAACCAAAATAATCTCTTTTCAGATCGAGAATATCTAATATTCACTAAGAAATAAGTGTCAACAAAATTTAAACATTTATCAAGGTCAAATATATTGTTATAAAATCTTTACCTTGCTTCTGTTATAAGAATGATTAATAGGGATGAGTAAGACATTTTACTATTATTAGCAATGACTGATATATCAATATTCACTTTCAATTTGTCAAAATTCCAAAATTACTCTAAAATGATACCTATTTCTTACATTATCTTATACAATCTGAATTAAATGGACCACAGAATATAAAATTTATTCATTCAACTTAAGATTTTAATGAAAATCTCTGAAAGTCTTGTTGGGAATTTGAAGTATTTTATTTTCAAAGGGTGGTTCTATTTGAAATAAAGACGTGGAACATCTTTAGAATAATGGTTGAATTCAAAAAAAATATTCAGTAAATTTCAAACATTTCCTGAGAAACATATTTTAGAACCTGTCCAGGATAATATTATGTGGAATATTCTAGATTCTCTTCTATGATTATAATTTCGCCAATTGGAAACAAGAACTGTTTCATATCATCTTTTTTGATATCTGACTTCAGAGGAAAAAAATCCACAAAGTGAAATTTGCATCTTCAACTTTGAAATTTCAAACACGGATCTTTACTTTTTGTAAGAACTTTTGATTGGTAATGTTCATATAATATTTGGTGTTTATTGGTAATAATGGCAGTCACATAAGTCTAAAATAGTAAAAATGAAAGAGAAATCAGGAGTGTTTCTGAAATATATAAAAGTTTTGAAATGGCATGTCTAACATAGCACTTACAAATGTTGAGAGACCAACTATCTTATTTCCCTTTTTTACTATTAGGTTGTTTCAAAAGTTTCGTCCGTTTTAATGTCATATGTTTTT